TTTCTGTATATTTCATTAATTTCATGCAGTAGAATATTTGATATGCTTTCCCTCATATTTTTCTGTTTTTATAATCTTAATTCAACACTTAATTGCGTGAAGCAGTCTTCAGTGGCAAAGTGTTGAAAATAGAATCAATTACCACTACTGCATTTTCGTCTACAAAATACTCAATAATCTAGCCCCTTATTTAGAATCTTTTGGTCATAATCGTCCAGTTTACTTTGTTACTTGTCATTCTACCTTAAATCCCTTATTTATCCTGAAACCAAAGACTGAATTTAAAAAACGTTCTTTTTCTTTCACTGCTCCAAGCATCTATAACAATCTACCGACTCATATTCGCACGGCAACTTCACTCCAAATGTTAAAAAACCAAATTAAGTTACTCCCTCTATCACTTTAATGCATGCACTGGTACCTAATGTTATATCATGACTTTTACCATAAGTTAGTTTTGTTTGTTTGTCTGTTTGCAGTTGTGTAGTCTATTTTTACGGCATGTGTATTTTTTAAAATATTTTTTTGGTCATTTTTCTTTGTATCAATAATATCTTAAATATTTAATATTTAAGGCCTTTTGTTCATTTTGATCTAGTTTTTATTTTTTTAAAGCTTTTTTTTTAATGTTTTCTACAATGTATTCTATTTTTTTGTAAATATTTGTATGTACAGGGCTCTTTTGTAAAGCAGGAGGTATTAAACTTGATTTGGTTAAGTGTTTAAAGGTTAGACCTTGAAATGAATTTTAATGCCTCCTCATGGGGTTGAATGTCAAAAAAATTTTAGAAAATCTAGAGAAAACGTCATGTTCATCATGACATGTATGACACTGTAATTTAATATCTGCAGCATACTAATATTAAATACAGTGTGTTGCTTAAAAGTCTGCTTGATGGCAATGTGACCAAAAAGACACACAAATGTTATTTAAAACTCAACCAATTTTGAAAATAAGTGCCTTCTTACAAGTACGAGTCCGAGTTACTTATCACACCTGAGCATTATCTTAAATGACAGACAAATATACTTGTAACATCATATTCACAATGTTTAAACTCGCATGATTGATCTCATGAAGATTATGTATTTCTTCAATCACAGGTAGAGCAGTCTTTACCACCAAAACGTTTGAAGAGGGAGAATTCCTTTTGTGGTACAGAGGAGATCTGGTAACCAGAGATGTGGGGGAAAGAAGAGATGCAGACTGTGAAACTTGCTTCAGATACTTTTTCACATGGAAAGGGACGAAATGGTGGTAAGTCTACATACTATGACGACTTGATTTATTGAAAAGTATATTTTGTAATGATAGGTGTTGAAAACAAACCTAAGGCTATATGCTTATGACGTAGTCGTAAACATGTGGGTTGACAGGGCAACATATTTTCTACCAGTGGTTTTTGTTTTTTCCCTAGAGAAAGATCGAAAGCTAGTCATATCTGTCAAATTCTATTCCGTGCTTTTGAATAAACCCGTGGACTGACCACATACAGTACACATACAGTTTTCTGCAGAAAGTATCAATACGGCAAGGACAGCATAGAACAAATATGCAACTTATATTCTTCTCTATCTATTCAAACCTGTTTTAGCTATCATACAAAAAACACAATCTTACCAATGACAATTATTCTACCTTGTCAGTCCAACAGATCATATTCCATTTTGGAGAGCATAAAATGAGAATATAAAACAATATTTGGTACAAATATTGGATATAAAAGAAAGGTGCATTACACTGAAAAGTCCATGTTTTTTTTTTGTACACTCCACATTTCATCTTACAGATGAAACAGATTCGGAAATTTCTATGCAACTTGCACCACCTCCCTCTCCCTCCAGTGAAGTTTTAAATGATGAAACAGATTCGGAAATTTCTACGCAGCTTGCACCACCTCCCTCTCCCTCCAGTGAAGTTTTAAATGATGCTGGTTCATCAGTTCCCTGCAATATGTCATCGGAAGACTCTTTTTCTACTCCCCCTTTCTTCTACACCTCATCTTCACTTCAGTCTGATATTACTTCATCTGTTCATTCATTACTTCCCCTAACACCTCCCCGCACCCCCCAATCAACCCCTCACACAACCCCTCCCTCAACCCCTTGCCTAACCCCTCTCCCAACCCCTCTCCCAACCCCTCCCTCAACCCCTCTCCTAACCCCTCGCTCATCAACTCCTCATTCAACTTCTTCATCTGCTTTGTCTCCTCCTCTCCCTTCCCATCCTCCTAATTCATTTCTTTCAATGTCTGTTGTCCAGCGTCATCCTCGCATTGTAGCTGGATTTCTCATTTCGCTACTCCTGCTTGTTGTCTTTATACATCTTCTGCTTTTAATTTCTGTTATCCTTCTTTGTTAAATGTTCATCATTCATTTTGTAATTTCCCAAATTTCCTCTTCTTTATAATCTGGGAAGATGATCTGAGATGGGCCAACATATGTCAAATGGTTAGATTTACTGAAAAATCATTTGAAAACTTGAGAACAAAAATCATACAGTTGGTAAACATAATCTTCATTGAGGATGTAGTTTTCAATGCACAATTCAAACCCTGCATTGGATTTCCTGCTTTCTTTGCTCATTCTAAAATAATATAACACTGCATACATGTTTGGTCCGTTTGATATGAATTCAGGTTTGTGCTAGTAGCCACTTTTTATATTGTATTCTTTATTTGCTTTTTGGAGCTACGTTCCACTTTTAAAGATTAGATAGATTATTTTCTTCTTTCCCCCCTCATTCTACACGTCTGTTCTTGTTTATCATAATGCTTTTTTTCCTTTTTCCCATGCTATTTTTTAATCTTTCCTCATCTCTCCCTCCCTTCTTCTCCTTGGACTCATCTTTCTTCTCCGCATGTTCCTTCTCCCCTGCCGAAGCCTTCTTCCATCTCTCCCACCCGGTGTAAACATCTTGTGGATAGATATGTCCGAAATTGTACATTTTCCCTTTAGTCTGTTGCCTCTCCTTGCCCTTTCCCCAATTTGGTCGCTTCTCTCTCTTTTTTGTTATTTTTGTTATACCATGTAATGTCTTTGGCTCTCGTATTTCAGAGGGTCTAGAGAGGATATATTTTGTTCGCAATGCTGTTACCCGTGGCTTGTAGGGCGTGTCGTTATTCGACCTTTGTGTTTTTTTTGTTTTGTTTTTGTTATTTGTATTTATATTGAAAAAATCTTCCACGGTTAGTTCGTCGTCTTTTTTCGCCTCGGTACTCTTGTCTGATGCACGGTGACATTTTGTAGCATTACAATTTTAAGGCAAATGAAAAGTAAACATATGCACGTTTAATGTTCATGATATTGGTTATGATTTCCAATGCCTACATGTAATGTTACCTATTTGTTTCCTATGTTACTTGTATTTCAAATTTCCTCCTAAAATTAACCATGCGTTAACAAAAATCATGACTGTAACGATTCTTCTTTGAGTGATACCCTACTTGAAAAGTAACAGTTAATCAAATAATATCTGACAACAGAGAAAACCTAAAGTGAAATCACAAATTGTAACCCACATATACTTGTATGTTTCAGTGATTCATTGTAATTTTAAACATTGATGAATCTAATGTTTTCATTTTTTTTCAATTTCATTTCCAGTAGGGATGCATCAGTCGAACCAACTAAACAACAACTGGGACGACTCGTCAACCATGGTTGGAGGGGTGAAGTCAACAGCAGAATGAAGATTAGAGAGAACCCTCACAATGAACCAGAACTGGTTCTCTTCTCATTGAAGAAAATCAAAGAAGGTGAAGAAGTGTTATATGATTATGGGGTGGGAGATAATTTTGTATTCCCAAGTCCTACTCAATTACACAGTGGAGTCCAAGATGAAAAACCTGAAATTCTGCAAAATTCTACAAACCTCCCACCAGACCCAGAAAAAGTTTGTTCACCATTCTCCGAGCCTGCCACACAAGAACTACTGGAACCAGATGGAAACTTTTCACAGTCCAATGTTCGAGCTGATGATGATGAAACATCTGAAGATCGATGCAGAAACCCCCCTAATAACGAAACAAATTGGGAACCATCCCCTAAGCCTGCCACACAAGCTTTAATGGAATCAGATGGTAAGATTTCACAGTTCAGTGTTTCAGCTGATAATGATGACACATGTGATGATCCATGCCGGAACCCCTCTAATAACCAAGAACATTGGGAACCATCCCCTGAGCCTGCCACACAAGCGTTAATGGAATCAGATGGAAAGCTCTCCCAGTTTGATGTTCCAGTTGATAATGATGACACATGTGATGATCCATGCATAAACCCCCCTAATAACCAAGTGCATTGGGAATCATTTACTGAGCTTGCCACACAACCTTTAATAGAACCAGATGGAAACCTTCCACTTTCCAATGTTCTAACTGATGATGCTGAAACATCTGATGATCTATGCAGAAACCCCCCTAATAACGAAACAAATTGGGAACCATCCCCTGAGCCTGCCACACAAGCTTTAATGGAATCAGATGGAAAGATTTCACAGTTTAATGTTTCAGCTGATAATGATGACACATGTGATGATCCATGCATAAACCCACCTAATAACCAAGTGCATTGGGAATCATTTACTGAGCTTGCCACACAACCTTTAATAGAACCAGATGGAAACCTTCCACTTTCCAATGTTCTAACTGATAATGATGACACATGTGATGATCCATGCATAAACCCCCCTAATAACCAAGTGCATTGGGAATCATTTACTGAGCTTGCCACACAACCTTTAATAGAACCAGATGGAAACCTTCCACTTTCCAATGTTCTAACTGATGATGCTGAAACATCTGATGATCTATGCAGAAACCCCCCTAATAACGAAACAAATTGGGAACCATCCCCTGAGCCTGCCACACAAACTTTAATGGAATCAGATGGAAAGATTTCACAGTTTAATGTTTCAGCTGATAATGATGACACATGTGATGATCCATGCATAAACCCACCTAATAACCAAGTGCATTGGGAACCATTTACTGAGCTTGCCATACAACCTTTAATGGAACCAGATGGAAACCTTTCACTGTCCAATTTTCTTGCTGATAATGATGACACATCTGATGATCTATGCAGAAACCCCCCTAATAACCGAGAGCACTGGGAACCATTCCCTGAGCCTGCCACACAAGCATTGATGGTACCAGATGGAACCCTTTCACAAAATATTTTTTCAAGTGATAATGAGGACATATTATCTGACCATAATGATGATAGTGATGATGATCCAGACTATGTCTGTGATTCTCAAGGAGATTCTGACTCTTCAGGGAAGACTTCATTAAATAATTCTCAAGCATCATTGCCTAAGGCTAAATGTACATCAATAAATGGCATCACTCGATCACTGAAATCTCTGTCATCAGATCAGTCATTGGAGGCATCATCAAGATATGGAGGCATTGATGCTGACCATGAGGGGATAACTGTGATGAAGACCAACAATCAAGGAGGGCGAAAATATGACAAGGTAGCTTATTGCATGATGTGTGAGAAGCCCCACAAAAAACTTCCTGATCACCTGCGGTCACAACATTCCAATGAAATAAAGGTGGCGCAATACATGGCAGCAACGAATCGAAAAGAAAAGGATAAGCTATTGACATTGATAAGAAATAAAGGAAATCACATGCACAACTACAGGGTCTTCGAAAAGGGTCATGGAGAGCTTGTGGTCGTATATAGACCTTCTTGTGAAGCAAAGCCCCGTGATTATCAGCCTTGCAAAGATTGTTTGGGATGGTTTGCGAAAGCCGAATTGTGGAAACACCGCTGCATTTTGAAGCAAGAAGAGCCGGCTAAGGAGCAAAAGAAAAAACGAAGAAGACTATTAGCACAAGGTCGACTCTTGCTTCCACCAGTGCCCTGCACATCAAGAGATTCTATAACACACAAAGTACTGAGTGGTCTCAGCGATGATGAAATCAAGGCCTGCATTCTAAATGATCAGTTGATTCTAGAATTGGCCAAGGTGTACTCTAAGAAATTGGGCCATGACGAAGAACAGCACAACCACATCAGATGCAAGTTACGAGAACTAGGAAGACTTGTACTTCAGTTCAGACGTTGCATCTGCAATGGCAAGGCAAGTCTGACTTCCCTGATATCACCAAATGGTTTTATGACTGTCTTGAGTGCTGTCAAGAAAGTGGCAGGCTTTGATGAGGAGAACCACTTGTTCAATACACCAAGTCTAGCACTTAAGCTGGGACATACCTTAAGAAAGGCTGCCTTTGTGCTCCTGAGTAAGGCTTTGATGGACAGAGATGGGGATGACATGCAGAAACTTGTAGAAAAGTTCATCAAGCTGCTTGACACTTGTTGGGGATCTGAAATCTCTACTCATGCTCTACGAACTTTGTACCAGAGGAAACGAAACCAGCCCAAACTCCTACCCCTAACGAGTGATGTTGTGGCTTTGTCAAGACACCTAGAGGTACAGGCTGAACTTTGTGTAGACAAACTGTCATCTGGGACCGCAATCGAAAACCATAGCACATGGAGAGAACTCAACAAGACCATGCTGGCTCATCTCATTGTGTTTAATAGGAGGAGACAAGGGGAAATCAGCAAGATGACTCTTGATGACTACAATAAAATCAAGAAAGGTGAATCTCATATGGTGGAAGGACAACTAGAGATGCTGAAAGACTGGGAAAAAAATCTTGTAAAGTTTCTCTGGAGAGTTGAGGTAGTAGGAAAACGTGGCAGGACAGTGCCGATCCTTGTGACAGACTCCATGAAATCATGTGTAGACACCCTTGTATCCCACAGGGAGGAAGCAGGTGTAAACCCAAGCAACAAATACCTGTTCGCCGTAGCCAATAGTGACACTACATCTCATGTTCGAGGGTCAGATGCTCTCCGTGAGCTGTCAGAAGCATGTGGAGCACAAAATCCTTCAACACTTCGATCCACAAAATTACGGAAGCATGTAGCTACCATGTCACAACTAATGAGCTTGAGGGACCATGAGATGGACGCCTTAGCAAACTTCATGGGCCACGATATTAGGATACATAGGGAGTATTATAGACTGCCAGATGCTGCTATGCAGGTGGCCAAAATATCAAAGATCCTGTTCGCCATGGAGGGAAAAGCTGGGAACCCGGTCCAGCTGATTGGCACTGCAAAAAGTCTGGATGAGCTTCAAATCAAGTTAGATGAAGGTAAATTTGTGATGAGGGTAGAATTATACAGTGGGGATCTCAATCCAAACCCTAATGCGATGAGAAACATCATGGCGAGGGATGAGTGGGATGAATAACAAACCATGTAGCATGTACTAATTTTAAGAATCAAGTATTTCTGATTTCCACTCAACTTGACAATTATCAAATACAAAATATGTAAATTGATAAACATGCTGCAACATTATTGAATTAATGAAAAGTGTTGTTTTCAAATGAACCATGCAGTTAAATATTCCTCACTATATTGTTCACTTGTTTGTTTCAATTTATTTAGATTAGGGGTAATTAAGGCATTTGTTTGACTCGATCCACAAATGTAGCATATACCTGGTGCCAATTCTACCATGTTGTATTTAGAAATAATTGATTATATTCTTTTGTTTTAAATTACAAGTATGTTTTCTTTGCAGTTGACCCAGATTTTCTTTTTGGTGAATATTATTGATTATTATTTTATGTACAGAGATCGACACTGGAGAACAGGGACCTGAATCATGTGATGACAATTGTGACAGCGATGTTGATTCTGGTGATCATGATGTCGAACGTCAGCTACCTGGATGCTCCCAAAAAGGTATGACTTTAAGTCCAATGAGAGCATCTAAAAAATTTCTTTTTGCAAACCTAAATGTTAATTTTGCCTATTGTACCGCACTCTCAATCATCCTCAAAAGCCAAAGTGAAACCAAACTTTTTCCCGTTGAAATCACCACGTACCAATATTTGTGCATTTTGAATTGTTAAAAATTATAGCACAATTATAATTGTAATGTAGCCTCACAAAAAGGCTGTTGCCAATGACGGAGAAAATCTATTAGTGAATTTAATTGGTCTCTATATCTAAACTTCTCTAAACTAAAAAAAAATTGTGTACATACAATAATATAGACTCAGAAAGTATTATGTGATCGTGGCCCTTTTGTTCTAGACTGGGAGTCAGGGGTTGTCAAGGTAATACAAAATGTACTTTTTTTCATGCACACAGCAATCACTACAATATACTAGGAAATGGATGAAAATGGAGGCAGCCAGGAGCCCCTCCCAAATAAACCCAAAACTGAGCTAGATTAGCAAAATAAATGACCAATAGAAACCGGGTAGAATATGTGAAACATAACCCCATCTGTCATGACACTGTCAGATAATTTAAAGACTTGTTTGTGCCCGACTCCCCTAAACGGTAGATGCCCATAATTTCACGAAATATGAGCTTTACAAAATTATATGATGGCTTTCTTCCCGCTAAAAAAAATCGTTTAAGTGTATTCCTCCCAGGATCACACTCTATTCTGCATCACTGCAAAAGAGGATTTAAATATTCTTCCTCTCCTTCCATCCTCATAACAGTAATGCACTCTTCAAGTTCATGGGTCAGAGACTCAGAGAAACAGTATGTGATACTGCATTTATTATTCTGCATAGTATAATTGCAACATTTTTTTGTTATTGTCTTTCATTAGGTACCAAAAGGCAAAGGCAAACGCAACATGTACTGGAAGAGGTTGATGAACAGCCAATAAGGAAGAAACGAAAGACAGCATGGAGCGATGCGGAAAAGTCGGCTGTCCAGAGACGTTTAGGAGCCTTTATGACTGTTCATTCTAAGCTACCTGGCAAGAGAGCGATAGACGAATGCTTGAAAGCTGAAGCTGTGCTGAAACACAGAACGTGGGTCAACATCAAAGACTACGTAAGAAACTCGAAGGTTACCAAAAGCAGAAAAACACAGCCTTGGTAAAAACATTCCCTTTAATATCAAATCACCATTTTTATATTGAATACACACATGCTTTTGTTTTGAGTCACCAAACTGCTGAAAATGCTCATAAATTACAAGGCATGTTCTTGTTATTACAGTCTAAAATGTGTATTCTTTTACATTTGGTTTCTCCATGTATTCATAAAATGTTTACCCACTCTACTGGCAAAGGATTTGTTATTTTGAGGTTTTATTATCATTTTTGTAGGCATCCGGCAATTTGTAATTGTGTTAGGGTCTTAGTGGACCTATGCTTGGCCACTCCCAGATATCAATGACAGGGAGCATATCGTTTAGGCAACATGTACTGATTACAATGAGAATTTTGCAGCATGAGTTGGAAATATCCTATTTGAACAAGAAAAAAAAACCATAGATTTTTTAACGAAATAAATCAGTGGAAGTTGTAATCAAACAGTCAAGTATTTGCATTTACATACCATAATGGCAGCATAAGAAGGCAGTAGGGGAATTGACTAGTGTAATGCTTGTACATTTGTGACACAATTAAAACTTAAACAACATTTATTATGAGAACACGTTCAGTATAGTGTATTAATATTATCATCAAGGGAGAGTGCCCTTACTATGTGTAAAGGGTGCCCCTTTTCATTTTGGACAGAACTTGTGTTGTTTCTGATATTATTATGGGGTTGTACTAAACACTCGGGTCGCGGCGCGCTGAAAAACACTCGGGTCACGGCTCGTTTGGCCATCTTTTTTTAAGTGTCTTCAAATCGGCTTTTTAATATAAGGGGGAAATCTTATTTCAAATTAGCGACTGTTTTTACACTCGGGTCGCGGCTCGCTGGGCCATTTTTTCAATGATGTCTTCAAAGGGGATGCGTGGGGGAAATTTACTTTAAAAACGAAGTTGTAAGTTGTGATTGTTTTTTGTTCAATGATAGACAAATAAGAAGATTATAATTAAGGCTGACATCGGGAAAGACAAATATACTAGGTGGGTAAAGTGGATTTTAGATAAAGTGTAATAGTACATAGGTATATGATCTATTAATATGATAGAAACAAGGAAGAATGGATACAGTGAGAAGATGAATTGTGGGAAATTAAGAACTACCAAGAGAGGAATACAAAAACAAAGAATGAAAGAATGAAATGAATATTTCCATCATTCCTTGTAATATCCTATCAAGTTTTATTCCTCGCTTTATTTTCATATTTGTCAGTCTTTAAAAAATATTCTTTCTAAATTTTATTCTACCCCTTTATTTCTCATCTTTTTTCTATCATGTAAATCTTTATTTCCTCCACTCTTTTCTTTATATCTTTATCACTGTTAAATTTGACCAATGAATTCTTTCAATTCCCTTTTTATTAAATATTTGTTTTCTTTCATTCTTTGTTTATGTAATCCTCTCTTGTTAGTTCTTAATTTCCCACAATTCATCTTCTCACTCTATCCATTATTCCTTGTTTCTATCAAATATACAGTTCATTTCCCTTGTAGTATTACACTTTCTCTAAAATCCACTTTAATCACCTAGTATTTTGTCTTTCCCAATGCCAGCCTTAATTCTAATCTTCTTATTTGTCTATCATTAAAAAAATAATAATCACAACTTCCAACTTCTTTTTTAAGAAAATTTCCCTACGCATCCCCTTTGAAGACATCATTGAATAAATGGCCCAGCGAGCCGCGACCTGAGTGTAAAAACAGTCACTAATTTGAAATAATATTTTCCCCCTTAAAAACCGATTTGAAGACACCATTTTGTTTAAATGGCCAAACGAGCCGCGACCTGAGTGTTTAGTACAAGCCATTAATATGGGATAGTGTAGAGATAGAATTTGTACACTTTTGTTTAATTAGCAATGCAGTAGTTTCTGCAGATTTAGTATAATTGTGGCAAAAAATAGAGGGGGAGTCAATGATCAGTGCCCCCTTTAAAAAGTAAACCGAATGTATGTTTGTTGTGAATTAATAAGAACAGATCTGAATATTATTCTCAGATTTCCCACATACATAAAATATGTCAATTTAGTGTTTAAGCACTAGACTATAGATGATGGTTGTAATGTGAATAATTAGTTGTGATGGGGGTCGGGGACCCAAAACCTTTTTTTTTTTGTAATACCTTTGCAACAAAACAAATAAAAAGGGCTATAATAAAGGGTTGGTTCCAGTATAATCATATAAACCTACAATATTAATATGATTCACCGTACTTCTTGCTGATTCAATTTCATCCCTGGTCCCTTTTTTTTTTTGGGGGGGGGGGATTTGTGATGTCAGTGAGTTCTCCTTCATTCTTCATCATTGTTCAAAAGTTGGCTTCTCCAACAAATTTGTATTGCGTCAGATTTGTGTTAAATGTATAGCACACAACTAATGATGATGCTATGATAGGAATGTAAAAAACAGATATGCTGTGTAGCTTTTTTAACCTTAGGTACTGTTAAACTCTACGTAATTATGTTCATCAAACTAATATCTGGAATCTTTTACATCCATTTTGCCCCCAAATCAAACTCCATCATGTTAAATGGTATCTTTGGAATGTACTATTGTTACCACTGACAAATATTCATATATAATATTTGAGAAACTTGGAAAATGGATATTATTAATTTTGTCAGACTGAAAAGGGAATTATCCCTCAAATACTAACGCATTCATATTTATATGTATCACATGATTTTACAACAAAAGAAAATAAAATGGTATATAAATCAGGACTTTCTAGCAAACTGTGTGGTGTGCTAGTACTCTACCTAGGGGCTGCTATTTTCTTAGAGAGCAGTAGTGACTCTTGACCTTCAGTTTCAGTTTAGTTTCATTTATTTCACACTAAATAATTTCGAAATTACATGTGAAAAAAGGAACTTAATCAAAAGCATATAGCTTGTAGAATTTAAGTTCCTCAAAATAATGTTGACACAGTGTCATTCATTATAAGGTAGAAGTATGATGATACAAAATCAGAGTATACAGATAAAACAATGAAATGATATGGATGATGGATGTAAGAAAGAAGAGAACTAGGAAGGGAAGGTAAAGCATGGGGGTCAGGAGAAGAATGAGGAGAGAGAAAAGGAAGTTTTTAGAATAGAATATTCAAGGTCGGGATTCACAGTCCAGAAAAAAATAGTATACTTGTGCATTACATGTACAAATTTAATACTAACAATTTGATATGTTTTTTAAAGCTGCAACAGTTCTTAAGCTATTTGAGATTCGGATCAATGGTGCTTCAGTAGTTTGGTCCTGTGTATGAAATAGTTTTTATGGCGAAAACTGCCCTGGTTAGGGAGGATGATAGTTTGTACGTGTTGCATGTCGTGTTTGGTATGTGTGTAAAGCATCATTTTTTGTAAAGCGTTCAATTATGGCTGATGGGAGTATTGCTAAATAACATTTAATTATTTTGTTTGTTTAATATTCAAGGAGACTTTGTTTGCCTGGATCCAAGAGAGGGCTTTTGGCTTTCTTGCTGTGTGTAGCAGCAGTGGGCTCTTTTTTTCTTCATTTCTAGTTATGAGTTATGTTGTTCAAAGTTGTTACAGATGTTATCTTTTGTTTTCATTAATTGGTTGCTTAATTTCTTGTTATGGTTTGAGGGGGGTTTTGTTTTTAGGTTTTAGAATTCTAGATTTTTTTTAGAATCCCTGGGGATTTTGCGGTAGTAAACCCCATTTATTTAAGTGGCAGAATTCATTTTATGCCTCAACCTTTCATATCATTCCAAACACACAAATATACTATACATGTGTATAAATTAAGGATGGCCGGCCAAGAATGAACAGTAATATGATCTGTTATTTTAACAAGACCTCAAAGAAATCATGAAATATGCGTAGACTGAGTTGATCAATTCTCCAAGTAAATGATATCAATATCATCTATTTTGCCTTCGTTTGTATTCTAACCTCATTTTCTGTGGCAATGTCAACTTCACAATATTGCACCATTCTTTTACCCAGGTGATGTTAGAAATAATTGTTTATTCGTAATCACAATTATAAGACATTTTTCTACTACATGCATGTTTAATCTGTAGATTTTTGCAAATGTGGTGCAATGCCTGTGGTTCAATTGTATTGATTGGTACTAATGCCCTTTTTATGTACACGTTCGGACTTAACTCCTAATTGCATATCATCGCTGGACGTGTTTAACTTGTCTCTTGTAAATTTCATGATTTGCATGTGCCTTTGAAGACTGTCAAATAATTGTATCGAAATAAAGTATATTTTACAGAAATTCAAAGAAGATAAACTATTGTTTATTACAATTGGCATTTATTTGATTCTATCTCGTCTTTTTCCTCTGTAGTACAATACACCTGCTGGTGTATGAGATATTTATAGAAATAACATGATAATTCTGTGATTTTTGTTTTCCCTCTTTAACATAAGTCATATTTTAAAATTAAGAAAGAAAATGATTTGCTAGATAATACTGCATAGTTTTAAAACTGTAATTATATCCAATTTTATAGTGGCAATTATGTATATGTTTGCAGGAGGTGTGTTAAAGAATTTAATAGAATTCGAGGATGAAAGGAAAGAAAATATTCAGGGAAAGTGGTTTGATACCACATTGATCGAGGAATTGTTAAAACATGTTGAAAAAGATGACAGTTTCGTCCTTAAATTGAATGAAGATATAGTTAGAGAGAGAGAAAGAGAGGAGCACAGGAGAAAGTTTTGCAAACTTTTTGTGTGGTGGTGTCATTAAGTTCCGTTGGTACGTACAGTGGATGGAATTATTAAAGTTAATTTCCTTCATTATATCTTTCCCAGCTTATCTATTAATAATTTCAACGTGTGCAAGCACTGTAACATCATTTGCGATATAGTGATTCCTTACAGTTAAAATAATGAAGACATATCAGTACGCAATATAGTACAAACAAGCTCAATCTTTATTTTGTATATGTGTCTTCTTTCTTCAAAAGACATAAACGTTATTCACAAAACATAACATTTTCACAAGTCGATACGTCAAAATGCAAACATGTATAAGAAAAGAATAAATGTTACAAACATATTTTGATGATAGTAAGAGAACAAAAGGAATCTCATACAAAGAAGCAATGATATTAATCCAAACTCTATACCACTAGTGATAACGATTAATTTAAAAACATTTACAAATATAAATTGTATTCTTTCCTTGAATTGCCGAAATCTTCCCCCTCCCCCCGAAAACAAAAATAAAGAAATATAAATATCCTTATGATAGAATAATGGTTTTTATATACATGGGGGGGGGGCTAGAAAGAACGGAACACCTGCGATCTACAATTACAACTTCATCATTGACCTAATTCTTACTTCATTAAGAAGATCATTCTTTTTCGAAATGATAAAAAATGATGTCAAGATCATCAACTTTGAGTCATTATGTCATTGTAATTGGAAATATCCGGTTTTCTTTCTTTCTGAGCCACACAATATAGTGTGACAGTTCATGGGCAATCCCTTTAAATTACCTTGATCTCTTGACACTGATAAAAGCTAAGCCAACATTTTTATTGAACCTGAGTAAGTGGAACTGATGTTGGGATTCCTAGGATTACATTTGTAATGGCTTCCATCAGGGGCGGATCCACGTAGCGATTTTTCCGGCCCGCCCCCCCCCCAGCCCCCCAAAACGATAAAAAAAATAGGATAATAACGTAAAGTTAACCTTTATAAAACAAAAAACAAAAGCGCCCCATCCCCCCCCCCCCCGCTTATTCGCCGGCCGGCTGAGACGGCACTAAATTTTGTATTAAGATTTGGCTACCCCCCCCTCCCCATTGGCGCCGGCTGGATCCTCTGCAGGCGTGGATCCACGGGGGGGGGGGGGGTGACGGGTCAACAACAACAAAATCTCACGAATTAGGTCACACAAAAAAAAAATAGTGGTCTCATATTCACCGGCTGACTAAGTCGGCGCAAAATATTTCCTGAAAAATTGCACCCCAAAAAAATGCTTCCTACCCCCCCCCCCCCGCTTATTCACCGACGGCTGAGTCGCAACTAATATTTTCTCACGGATTGGGCCCCCCCCCCTCTTCCCGCCGGCTGGATCCGCCACTGGCTTCCATACAGTAAATCAAGATCATATTTATCAAGACTTTTTACATGATACACAACGGTCAACTGTTGACCATAACTCTTGTTTCTAAGATTGATATTATATTGTGGAAATTAAGATTTGAAAGACAGTATTGCCTTCATTGTTTTAAATACAAGCAAACATAATAATATCCTTTTTTGCATGAGTTAGTTCGAAGTTTACAAGGAAAAGATAAAAATCGACAAACTCCACGTTTGCTAGGTCTTATGCCTACTTCCCCGATTGACAATGACTAGATGCAGACACCGCACTTTCATAGCTCAAATTCAGACGAATCATGTGTAAGAAGAAGTAAACGTTTTTTAGTATCTTTTGACATTGGAATGGGCTTATTGTGATTTTCTTTCCTCAAATTTGATAAAATATTGCTTATAAAGCCTATATTTATTACCTCCACAGTTTCATGGTGTTTTGCCTACCTCCCCGATTGAAGGCGTTTACATGTATGCGTGTGTGTGTTTTTTTTTTTTTTTTTTTTTTTTGGGGGGGGGGGGGATCAATTTCTCCCCCCTTTTGTTTTTTAAACATTGCATACAATTTCTGAAGCAGAAGCCCTTTCGGATATTCCTTTTTTATCCAGAAGTAGTTCCAGAAAATACACTGGATGTTTGTTCATATTACAAGAAAAAGTATTCCTCATTTTTGCTTAGTTTTCTTTAGGCCAAATTTACAAAATAATGAGTTTCTTGTTCCCACCCGCCTCCTCTTTGGCCGCCGCCTCCTTCTTTTCTATTTGCTATTTACTATTCAGAAGAAAAAAATAAAGGCTGTGATGTACATTTTTTATAAATCAAACTGAACACATGTAAATTTTTTCACTGTTTCTGAATTTTGTAAAATTGCTTAGCAAGTGAACTAAAATGATACAAATCATTTACTTTGTCATATGTTGCATCAGTATACTCAAACAGCACAATATCTGTGAAAAAATATACATTGGCCAGCTATATTTAGCATGTCGTCCATCTTGGGGAAAAAATAGCAAAAAATAGCAAAATAGTAAATAATAATGTCCTGCCTCCTCCTTTTTTGAAAAAGTCGAGAAATTGTTATTTTTGTTATTTTGCCTTATAGACTGGTTAACAACAACAATGCTTTCCAATTCCAAGGCTGTAATTCAAATACTGCGGTGTACTGTATGCATTGTATTTTAGCTTTAGTGATTCTGAAATGTCAAATTCTATATTTTTATGAGCAGAGTTGTTTGTCCATCACTCACTGAACCATGATGTATACTTAGCTCGAACAATAGAGAATTAAAATTGCTGAGCCCCCCCCCCCCCCTTGTCAATAAACAGTTAGGAAAGTGTTTAAATTCTAGTTTAGATGTGGAATTATCATGGCATTATAGTGACATTATAGATTGTTAAATTTGAAGTGGTATCTAGGTTTTTTTCCCCCCTTTTAAAAAGAATTGTTCAAAATGGGATAATGAAAAGGAAGTGAGGGTACTAGTCAATTTAATTTTAATACACAGTGCATTGTAATGATGCACACTGTACTGGTAGCATGTACAGTACTAAAACATATAAGCTGATTAGTTGATGTGAGTTAGAGTGCAGATGAACTGTGCCCATGACAACTGGTGCTAGGGTCTACTAATTAGTTGATGAGAATGGGATGAGAGTGTAGGAGAGTGAATAGAGAGAAGGGGTATTAATGAAATGAAGAGGCATGATAGGTGAGTTTGGGGGTGGCATCAACGTAAAGCTGTTTGTACAATGGTTTATACATGTATGCCTGTATGGCTTGGATGCCTGGATGGCCTGGATGGCACAGGGCAGGTTAAGGCCATTAAAAAAATATACACGTTTAGCGTCCCCGCCCGCTTCCTTTTTGGGGGCCGTCTCCTATTTTTTTAATAAAAAAAAATAAAAAAACATTGCTAAAATGGATCTATTTCTGATTTAAAAAAATAAAAATAAAATGTTGGCGGTCATCTTGAAAAATAGCCCGACTGTTGGGGAAAATGTACCGAGCGGCCATTAAAAGTGGCCATTTTGAAGAAAAAAAAAAAAGAAAAAAAAGGGCCTCCTCCTTCCTATTTTTCGATAAAACAGGACGCTAAACATGTTTTTTTTTTATTTGGCCTAATGAAAGCTACTCGAAATGTGTGGAAGCCTTTGAATAAAAAAACACTATTGTAAATATTCAAGTCAATCAAAGTATAAATAATTGGGCTTTTTCAACCCATTTTGCCAGAGCCTGGCATTAACTGACTGAAATAATTATTTTTGATGAAAATTTACTAGAATCTCTGTACCATACAAGGTAGCAATATAAATGAATAATTGTTAATTTTTGGATGTTGAATTGAAAAGCAATGGAAATGGCATTTGCAGTGAGTTGCAAAAGTCCATTAGGTTGATGAATAGGTTGCTTTTTTCATAATGGGTAAAGGTGATTGCTATAGAAGGGTAAAAGCCACTGACTGGGTAATTTCGTTCTATAATAAACACCAAACCACTTACAAGTAGTAAAAGTGAATTCAGAATATATTTTATTCTGATCTCTTTAGTGCTGGGTAGCGTATCCTTTTTAAAAGTTAAAACTAATTTCCTAATTGACTATTTTATAATATTTGGTTTATAATGAACTACATGTACATATACAAGTAACCTGAACGAAGACTAATGAAGAGGTACATTGTACATATACATGTATATGATTATCTTCAAAGGTTAATGGCATAATTATTCAATAGGTTTTATGAATAGTACATGTACATGTATAACATGGATGCACACTCATTTTAGTCTTTGTTATTTGAGAAGAAACTAACAATGACTATTACTTAATTACTTATTTTGTTTTGGAAAGGACCCTAATATTTCACTTAGAGTTTCCAATAAGCCTAGTTTCCAATGTTTTGATTTGTACAACTTCCTCTAAACTTCATTGACTTGCATTTACTTCACATATAATAACAGAGAGTGAATGGTCATCATCATTACGTAACAGAGTTGCCAAATTAATATTCTTGAATCTTGACTAGTTCTTAGCTTTTGTTATTGATTTGACCCATTTACTCTCATACCCATCACCTAATAACGTTCCTGTTGTCATTCCCCTTTCCCCCCTACTTTGTAGAGAGATTTAAGATACTTGTTAAAGTGTTTTGCAGGTAGTTTAAATATCACCTTTAAATGTAAAGGCAGGGTGGACTGTTATGGGTTTAATCTTGACCTATTTGCATATTAATTATTCTTTTCTATGTTTTTCTTTTCTTTACAGAGCCAGCAAAACCCAACATATGGGAATTCAATGGAATTCAGCGCTTAGATTTGAACCAGCAATGTTAGATTTTGGTGAACAGTAAGTAAAAGTATTCATTTATACATTTAAATAAATTGTTATCTAAATAGAATTCCAAGCTCTAAATTCTGCTAAAATAAAAACTGATTTGATGACTACGACATCCTAAGACGGTATGTGACTAAAATAACTGTCAGGAGAACATATTTTTACTAAAGACACCTGCGTCTTTTGTAACTACTGTACACAATTCCTGAGCAGGAATATAAAGAGATCAAGATTGATTCAAGGTACCCTCCTTCATATGAGAATCTCATTAATGAAACTGTAATTGACTTATTTTTGCTGCCCTGGATACTTCGGCCCCTGGGATAGAAACAATTGATCCACACTGAGCTACATGTTAATTACATTTGTAATGGCATATTTTCATAGACTTCCACTTTCCCCCATTTTCTAGGCTAAGTTCATATTGAGGAACACAAATCCAAATAGTATTTGATTTAAATTAGAAGATTATATTTCATTGAGTAGTTATTAGCAGATCCTCTATGAGGTTGTATTACATGGAATGCTACAAATGAACTCCAGGCACATGAGTAGAAAGAGGAAATTTGGAAGAGAGAGAGAGAGAGAGAGAGAGAGAAGTAAAAAGCCTGGTTGATAATCCCTGTTCATAATCATGTCTTGATGAGAAGAATGGAGTAAACGAAATGAAGAGGAAATTGTTTAGTTGATTATAATTAATAATAGAAGTGCACTGAAAGGGTTGGGAGTAACTATGGTATCTCTATCTACAGTGTGTTTTACCGATGCCCTATCAATAAATCAATATCAGTTCACTTTGCAGTTTATATCATTCTATTCAGTGTATCTTTGTAGCCCTGCCACGTCTGGTGAACAATGAGAGAGAGAGAGAGAAAAAAAGCCTACATGTACGTGACAGTGGAGCAATGATAACGGCTATCTATTGTGTTTCTCAGACAGGAATTGTATGATTTCATAAATGGAGATTCAGGGTTGTGTGCTCGTTGCCTGCCTCCTGTGTATGGCGTATTAGTGTAACCTTGGTGCAGTCATTATTAATATTGGATGACATACAACCCCTAACAGAATATCAAATTATAGAAGCGAAGATGGTACATGTAATACCCTTATTTATACAGAAATTATTCAGAAACAGCATATAATAAACATATAGAGGCCTACATTTACATCTGTGTGGGTTAAACTGTTGGATAATACTTGAACTCTAATTGCTATCTAGCATGACATGCAATCAAGGGATCAGACATAATGATCTACATGTATGAACAATTACTTTCTGGTTGAATACTTCTCAGAATTCACGGCAGAGATAGATGAAAAGAGAAAGAAAGAGAAAGAGAAAAGATAGAAAATTAAATTTAAGAACTCTGAATAAAACAATGATGTATTACAGGATAATTTTGTTTGCAAACCAGGGGCCTTTGCCTATATTTTATCCACTGCAGCTACATGTACAGTGTATGTTTCTCTTTGTGCTCACAATGCAGTGGGCTTATTGGCTTGTGGTAGACTTTTATGACAATATGCCATTTATTGTTTCTTGATATCCCGCATTTTCAGGGTTTTTAAGACCACTCTCTTTAAAGTGTCTGTTATGAGACATTCAGTAGGAGTTGTGTATTCTTTATCTCCCATTTATGAAGTTAATGAATCAATTATGAGTGAGTTTGTTATAGTCCTGAATCCTAATGGAACAAGGAAGCTCTACCAGAAATTGGCATACTGTATTCAATCATCCAGTCTACGTGTCCATTCAAGAAAGTACTGGGAAAGAGGAAAAAGGGTGTCAATGAATGAATGGTATTAGAAACCCCTCCTGTCTGCCACTGTTTCTGTCATCACGAATGAAAATTAAGCTCTTTCAATGTTTCTTCATTGCAGAAGAACTACCTTTTTGACTTTGAAACTTAGCTCATGCATATTTGTGTACATTGTATTGCTTGAGCAATATAGTGTTATCTTTGTGGTTTCATACATTACTAAAAAGAAAACATGAAAGAAGAGATGTGTATTTACAGACTAAACATGCACTGTGTATCGCCAGTAAGGGAACATCTTTTGAGAGGAGTCTGAATAAACAATGAAGAGAAACCAGCCAGGAAATGTCTGAGAACTGAAGATGAAATAAAAATTGCTTTGCTTTTACTATCCTAGTCTTCTTTATATGGGCGTAGAAGGAAGCAACTCCTCCATTATTTTTTTTGGCAAGAAAATTGTACAAACACTAATATGATCATTACTATGATCAAGTGTAAATAATGTCAGGCTGTTTTGCCAGTATAAATCTGTTAATTCTATTAATATCCCCATGTTTTGGTAGGCCTACACTTCATTGTAAAGCAGGGCTCCCACTTAGCCGAGTTGGAACCTTGAGTTGTGGCGAGCTGGCGCGATCTTATGGCAAGCCGTTTTATTATTAACTGATATCAAGAAATCAACTCTTGATATCAAGAAATAATTTTACGTTGTAAAGCAATGGTAATTCTTGATATCAAGAAGTAGATTTCGTGATATCAGGAATTCGATTTATGATAAAACTGCTTGCCATAAGATCGCCCGAGCTCGCCACAACTTGAGGCTCCAACTTGGCTAAGTGGGAGCCCTGCTTAAGCTCATGGGAAAGCAGAGTATGTAATTAATTCCTCAACTTAGTCTTTCATAGAAGATGTTTGGTATTCTCTTGAATTTAACATATTTTTCAACCTCAATGAAAGTATTTCTAATAGTCAGCACTCTTTGATAGGGTTTCCAAACGTTTTTTTAATTGTGTTTGAAATGTGCAGCTTCAAATATTCTTCGAAACTTTGTTATGAATTACCCAAAGAAAATACACTACATGGCTATATAAAATGAAACTTTTCAGCCTTAATAGAAGTATGTTGTGTTTTTTCTTCTTTTATTTTTCAGTGCGGTGGGCATGCCAGAAATAAGAACGGTTAGGGTGTTCAACCCGCATCATGAAAACATGCGAATGCTGTCCATCTCAGGAACAACACCACACTTTCATTGTTCGTTTTTTCAAGAAAAGGTAAGAACAAAGTTTAAGATTATAATTGTCAATCAGTTGCTCTGTACCAAGGTGGAGACTGATTGGTTGATATTGGATTGGGAGTATCAGACATGGGTAAGGTGTGGAGAATCGTAAGTCAGTCAGCAGTCATTGGATATGCATGTATGACTCTTCACCAGGTCTGTGGAATGCAGAAGTATATACCATTGTCCATATCCAGCTCGTAGAAATACCTTACAGACTCATTGAAAAGGTTCCTTTTCTTTGGAGCATGTTGACATATGACCAACCCTTAACTGCGTAGTATCATACTGACTTAACTGAATTGGGATCTTCTTGTTGTTATGATTTTAAAAGGAAGGTTGGGTTTAAAATGGAAAAAAAGTTTGAACTTAAGGCCTACTGTTTAATGGTAAATCCATTATACCTAGCAGAGTTTAAAATCATAAATTTAAAACTGACAAATAGACTTAATCAAAGAGTTTAGAGTTTCCTCTCAAATTGGGAAATTACAAATGTCCAGTAGTCTAGCCATGATGAGATTTGTTTTGATGGTCAGTTGAAACAAGTAGAACATCAGGTCTAGTAAAAGCTCCTCAAGGTAAGGCTTGAGAGTAGGTTCATAGTGATGTAATATGACCTGGTTGAAGGCTGATTCTATTCATATCTCATGATCAGCTAAAAACTTCCTAAATGCATTTTATAGCGTGACTCACAGATCTTAGAATGATGAGAGGGGAGAAGTGAGAGTTAATTTGACATAGTAGGCCTATGTATAGTTTAATGTATTCCATCCATCCAGGGCTGGGTGTGTGCCAAGTAAATACTTGATAACATACAGCCCAACCAGGTAGTGTTTAGAATCACTGTCTAATTTCAGACTCATGTCACTGCTATCCTTAATATGTCTGAGGAAGTCGATTTTAATCCGGAAGTTGGCTACTCTTCCCTCTCTCATACACCCCCCCCCCCCCCCATGGCAATGAACCTGTAAAAGATCTAGGGAGATTATGTATAGAGAGGTCGAGAAGAGAGGTTTCCTTTAGTGAACTAACATCGGAAACTGGAAATTTGCTGATCATGCAATGGAGTAGGAACATAACAAAAACAATGAAATTACATCAGATAAGAAGGATATGATTTTAAGATTTCTGAATGTAATAACATGTACTTGCATCTACATATAAGGAGACATGCATTTATTGACTTATTTGTTTTGTAAAACACTTTGATCAATTGTAAATTGGATATAGTGCTATAAAGAAACTATTTATTATTATTTTTATTATTATGCATGAGCAAAACACGCCTCCTTGTTAGTTTTGATAATCAGCATGAGTGCTGTAGTCAGAGGTGGCCAAAGTTCATTGGAAATTTTTTGATTCAGACACTGGCTGACTTTGTCTCCTGTAATATCTATTGATCAGTCTGTCACAATAATTGCTTGATGGCTGTTCAAAGTCCAGTTCTTAGACTATGATTGCTCTTATTATTTAGTAAGACATTTTTTTTTTATGTGATGTCGTTAGAAGATGAGTTCTAAAAATAAAGTCCTTAGATCAGCATACTGTTAGGCCAAATAAAAAAAAACATGTTTAGCGTTCTGCCTTTTTGAAAAGTAGGAAGGAGGAGGGCCTTTTTTTCTTTAAAAAAATAAATAAATCAGAAAAAGATTATTTTAGCACTGTGTTTATCATATTGTTTTTCTTTTTTAAAAAAATTACAAAAATTACAAAAAAAGAAAAAAGGAGGCGGGCCTTTACATGGTCTTACCTGTAAAAGATATGCCAGTAAACCTAAATCTTTTCATACAGAATAATTTTCAAGCATTTTATAGTGGCATGTAGATTCATCAACAATCATCATTTGTTGATATAAATATTACATGTTGACTGCTATTATTTTCATCATTCAATGAGTTGCAAATTTTCGTATGATAAGTACTCTAGAAACATCTGTTATTAGGCTAACTTACATGTAGGCCTTCATATGTGACCATGTTTGATAAATCTCAATAATATCAGTTGTTGACCTACATGTAGAAGCTTAACTACATCTCAAGGGCACAAAGGTCATATTCAAGATTTTCATGATCAGTCAGTCTTGTCTTTATGTTTTTAGGGGGGGGGGGGGCAGAGGATGGGGTTGTTTATAACTATATACATAATATTGAGGGTAGAGGTGCACTACTGTCAACTTGGAAGCATATCTTCATGGAATATTGTCTGATCAATGTCTAAGCTTTTACAGTGGAAAGTTTTTCATTTACATCTGGTTAGAGTGTGGAGGTGTACGTAGCCTGATTTAAGAAATAGTTAATGTTTACATTAACATTTACTGATATATAATGAAAAACAGACAATCCTAAGCTGAGACCTTAATCATTCCCAGTTCTCATATCCAATTATTAAGTGGATAGGAGAAAAGGTGGAATAGGGGATTAAATTGCTTTGACACTTGAAAAATGTTCAGTTTTAAATTGGATTGTATATTGTGTATGAAAACAATCAGTGAGTATTTTGAAAGTGCATTTTTTTCTATAAATAAATAATCCACCAATCTAGGTGATTGAAGATCAGCTCAGAGCCGGGGAAAGCTATGCATATTTCATCAGTCCATGCAGTTGTGTGTAATTTGGGATTGGTATTGAACACCCATTAAATCTGGAGAATTAGTTCTCTCCATGTTGCTCTGCCTCAAAGCAGGCTTGAGGGAAAAGAAGCTAATAATCCGATTGTGATGCATGATTCATGGCAAAGCTTACCCACTCACTGTTTGTTGTGAGACGATTCATTAAGCAGACTTTGGACGTTTACATTGTGAACTATTGGTGCAAATCATCGAAATATATTCCTAGCAGTATTTGTTTACTGTGTGTGTATGGGGGTGTGTGTCTACATGCATGTGGGTAAACGTGGGTTTGTGTGTTTTGTTTGTGTGAGTGTGAAAACCGCTTGTACTGTGTGCTTGGACAGTGTGTGTGTGTCATCTTATTTGTTGTTATCAGTTACTAGTAACTCCATGTTATCAATATATTTTATAGAGTTTCTGCAATTTTGTCAAGGGTTCTGTAATAAAGTGCTGTTTTAATAAAGCACATAACTCTTAAAATTGAGTTAGTGGTAGAGCAATATAATGAAGCCTATGATGCGATAAAGCTTAGCTTTATAATGGGATTTGAGTTCTTATAATGGGGTGGTGTGTATGAATAGAAGGCCTACATGTAGTCTAGTGAAGGTGGGAGCATTATATTTTCTTCCTGTCTTGCTCACATTTGATGTGAAATTTATTGTCAATTAGTCATTCCTTTTTAAATCCACATTGACATGTACTTGTGTTTACTCTAGTCCTCAGCTACACACTAACTTTTGAATTCATAACCTTGAAATATAGCAGTCTGGTCTCACTGGCTTTTGTATAAAGGAAGGATGTTTGTTGTGATAATGTTTGTTGATTTGAATGGTATTGTTTGGTTAGGTTGATTGAATGGCAATGATATCAAGGGTCTAATACAATCATTACTCACTAAGAAGGAGGAGGAGGAAGAGGTGAAATGAGTAGTAGCCTAATGATTGAGGGATTGCAGAACTCATGAAGAATTGATAGACTTCCTCTTCCTCTCTACACCATTATATTCAATACTTTGAAGTGAGCAAATTGAGTTAACTTTTACTTGGAAAAGTGAACTAAGTTATCTGAAACAGGAACAGCTTCTTCCTCTCTGTGGTGTAGTTAATAATGATGTCCCCCACACTTTGTTGGCCTTGGCAAAAAAGAGTTGGTAGTGTATGATAAACATTCTAACCATCAGGAACAAATGGTAGTAATCCATACACCATAGGCCAAAATTGTTACATATTGTTTTTTCTCTTTATTCGTGACCTGATCCTCTAAAAGCTTTCTTCTTCACTATAAGTACAGGCCAATATGCCACTGTAAGGTGTATTACCAATCATATTCTTTTATCGTTTAAGTGAGATATACATTTACACTGATGTTTTTTTCCAAAAAAATCAAATCAACAATATTCATACTTATGAAAAGATATGCTACAGAACACCTTTATTTTCTTGTATGTGTTATAAGAAATAGTCTTGTTTGCAAAATATATTTGTCTAGAGATAATAAGTTGAAAAGAAAATAAATGAAATATGTTAGTTTATTTGGGCAAGACAGGAATAATATAAGATGAATTTTCAGATATATGGCTAACTGTAGATTAGAAAAGAAAAATCAAAGATTGCTAGATGGCATTTAGGATATTTTGTTTAAACATTTTCAGGTTTTGTATTTATTTATATTTTCCATAGCTTCTTGTACGTTACTCTCAGCTCTTATTATTTTGTATTGGTGGAAGGAAGTGTGTTACTATATTTCAGTTGGAGTTGACAGTGACTGTAGAATAGTCATGCATCATTTCTCAACTCAGCCAACTTTGACTCAGGATGAGTAATGCATCACCAGGGAACAAATGAATCAAACTACATGTACAGTCTTTATTCAAAATTTCAAATGTAACATACTTGTACACATGTTTGTTTTTTTTGTTCAAGGAGGGGGGGGGGGCAAATATAAATAATGGACAAAATGAGTAAATCATTATAATTTTGCCATGGTCACTACCTAAGTGGTTCTCTTTCAACTTTTTGTGATATAAAGTAGGTGATTTCCTTATTACTTCATGGAGACTGTTTTAATAACAATATTGTGTGAGGTATACATTGTACAGTTAACAACTAATATACTGTATTGATACTCCTTACCATACTGAACAATTTGATTGGTCCTGACTTATTTTTCTTTAATATGTGACATATTAAAGCTAACATCTAAAAGTATTCAAACAAAGATCCTAAATCAACCAGTCCACCTTTCATTCTTGAGTTATGAAAAACAAAAAACCATCAAATTAACAAGAGGTATAGTTGTTAACTGTATATGAGTGAAGGTTCATTATTGTATGAAAACATTATCATGTTTCTTGTTCCCTTATTAAAGAAAGCAAAAATACAAGGATAGTCAATGAAAATTGCCAAATATTTCTATAGAAATCACATGATACCTGCTCCGAAGAAAGTGTGGTATATCTTTTATCTACAGATGATCAGAATTTCTATTTAAAGTGAAAAAGTAAAACAGTGATAGCTATAAAATAATTGTCATTCATTCATTCACATAATTTGTTTCTACACTTAATATTTATAGATAATATCATGACACTTTAAGTATGTCCAACAATACTATGATTTGCCCTGTGATGTCTCAATCGGTAAGAATGCCTTTTTCCTTTTTTTCTTCTTCTAGGTTTTACCACAAGATGGGAACACTACGTTTGATGTAGTCTTTTTAGCAAGATTGCCTGGAAATGTAGAAAACACCATTTTTATTCGCACAAGTGCTGGTACAACACCATATCAGGTGAGAAAGAACGACTTGAAAAAGTTTATTTGTAATGTTTTTCAGATGAGAGGGTCTTTTGCTTCACCAAACGTATAACCTGAAAAAGAACATGTATGATTACATTTATGTTCATTTAAAAATGCAGAGCTGTGAGCATTGTAAATCATTTCTATTTGATCTTGGAAGGGTTTAAAATTTGAAATTATGATAGTACAATAGATTGTAACTGGAGAGGCTCACTGTATATTAAGGTATAGCTATATAAGTTATATTACAAGAAATGTTGAATCGATTGCACAATAGGAGAATGTTATGAATGAGAAGGTGATGGAGAAGACAATTCAATAATAATGCATATGTTAAAGCTTATCTGCCGTAGTTTACAGGAGGGATTAGACTGCCCTGCAAGGTCACTGGACAGGTGGTTATCTCATCAACTCAGTTCTCAGTTAACATAAGAAAAAGAGGATCATGGGGGACCAATGGTCACCGATTAGTCATTGTTTGTTATATAGAGGGCGCAAGTAGCTACAAGTAGTGCAGTGGGCCTTTAAGACAAACTCTTTTTATGTCAAGATAAGAATAACAGTTTCTTTATATACTTTGTTTTCTCCAGGTGTTCGGCACAGGTGTACCCAATCCATACCGATTGCGTCCGTTCTTGGGCGCCAGAGTCCCCCTCAACAGCAGCTTTTCACCTTTAATTAAAATGCACAACCCTTTTAGTTCAGCTCTCATGGTAAGTCTATGGCCTAGAATCAAGATGGTAGATGTTGCATTGGAAGTTATGTCGTCTGGAAAAAGTATGTCGTCCATTACGCTTTGAAGTTTAATTTTGTCCCAACTTAAATGTGACATGATAATGACAAGTTATCGGTGCAAAAAGAATTGAAACGGAAATTGGTATAAATTTGTCAGTACCATTTAAAGTAAGTCTTGCTGTAAGTTTCTCCCTACCAACTTATTGTACACTTTTATTCTTTGGATATGGGTATCATTTGATAAACATAAGAGTGCCTGTAAATCTGTAATGTTTTTTTGTTTGTTTGTTTTAATTATCATTTTTTGTTTTGCTTCTTACCTATTACTTTTACAGGTTACAGAAATGTACAGTAGTGGGGGAGACTTGCATCTAGAGTTACCATCAGGTTCACAAGAAGCACCCAGAAACCAGTGGGTAAGTTGAACATCTACATGTAGGGCTAATGAGTGATACCTTGTATCCATTGTAGTGGGTAAGTCCTTACATCCAGGGTAGTTGGTAAGTACTTACATCCAGGGTAGTTGGCAAGTACTTATATCCAGGGTAGTTGGTAAGTCCTTACATCCAGGGTAGTGAATAAGTCCCTCCGCCCAGGGTAGTGAATAAGTCCTTACATCCAGGGTAGTGAATAAGTCCCTCCACCCAGGGTAGTGAATAAGTCCTTACATCCAGGGTAGTGAATAAGTCCCTCCGTCCAGGGTAGTGAATAAGTCCTTACATCCAGGGTAGTGAATAAGTCCCTCCGTCCAGGGAAGTGAGTAAGTCCTTACATCCAGGGTAGTGAATAAGTCCCTCCGCCCAGGGTAGTGAATAAGTCCTTACATCCAGGGTAGTGAATAAGTCCCTCCGTCCAGGGAAGTGGGTAAGTCCTTACGTGCAGGGATAGTGAATAAGTCCCTCCGTCCAGGGTAGTGAATAAGTCCTTACATCCAGGGTAGTGAATAAGTCCCTCCGTCCAGGGAAGTGAGTAAGTCCTTAAATGCAGGGTAGTGGGCATGTCCTTACATGCAGGGTAGTGGGTCAGAAGAAGTTGTGAAGATTGGAAGATTTGCAATTTGCGTGTGGGAATCATCTATACACGATGATATTGTATCAGATTTGGCTAGGATGAAGAACATTCAACATAGAAAGTGTGTCACATGACCAGTTTCTGTGACTTCGCCATGTTCTTGTATTGTAATGTAGTGCTGTATGAAAATATGCTGTCATCATATTAAAGGTACTATGTCCCTTTTGCAGCAACCTCAAATTCTGTAGGACTTTGCAGTAATTATGAATATGTCATGTATGTCCTATCTGTGAAATTTAGACGTTAGCAGTGTGCTAATATTCAAATTATGCAAGGAAACCCGTTTACTTGCTAGACTTCACTGTCAGACACTATTGAGTGACTGAATGGCTTTTTTTCTTCTCTGGTAATAACATACATAAAATGAAATGTAAAGGGTACATGAGCATTTGCCTACATCAATAACCCACTTCTTGTGATGGCCAAAATTAAACTGATTGAATCTTTGCGCAGCATAAAACGTATGACCATTCGGTACAATGGTCTGAAAATCAAGACCATTACTTATTGGCCTATAGCTCCTAAGTCGATTTGACAACTAATAGTCGTTATTTTCCCACTTGAAGACTTTTTCAAGCCCCACTTTCTTTAGGGAAGTTCTAAATTAGTATTATCTTTCAAATGCCTTTGGAATTTAACCTTTCCATTTTTTTGGCCTGCAAATGGGACATAGTCCCTTTAACATGTATGACCTGTGGTACCAGTAGAAAAAGATAATGAGATGGAAGAAAGTAATTCATATAAGTATCAAGGTGATTTCAGGATTTATCATCAATATAGTAACCAAAGCATGTGATACCAGTAGCTTTATAATTTTCTGGCATATTTGAAATAATAAGGATCGAATACAACATGGTGAAGTTATATTTTACAAGAAAATAATTATTTTGCATCATTTTGGATATTGCACCAGGTTAGGTTTGTGTGGAAAATTCTTTATTACAATAACAATTGACTTTTATATCGGTATAGAGTGATTTATTAAGATTAAGGAGTACTTATATTCTTAAATATTAGTCTGCCTTTTTATTATCAATAAAATCCTCACTTGAGGTACAAACTGATTGACATGTATTTTCCATTTTTCTGAAAATGGAAAAGCCTCCTAGACTGCTAAAGTCTTCAGTGTAATCTATCCAAGCCAATCGCTTCATAGATGTTTGCAAAACTCTATGGGAGCAATGTTTTGAAAACACAATATAAACTGCAAACTAACATTATTTTATAAACAGGTGAACAGTAGTATGATTATTATGACTGACTCATGCTCTGCTGTCTTGTCTTCTCGTAGGAGATAGCGCCATACCAGACCAAGTCTGTCATGAGGGCTAGTTTTGTGGGTCGGACTGAAAACAACCATACGGCATTCATCCGTATCAGGACCAACCGTACATCACTTAAACAAGGCCCTCTTGAGGCAGAAGAGGGAGAGTTTCTTATGCTACCTGTAGAAGTTGAGGTTTCATCAGGTAAACAGATTTTCATTGTATGATTTTTAAGGGATTGTATGCAATGGTGGCCAGTGCTTTGATTTGTGTGAAAGATGTTCATTGCCACCCTTTGAAATCAAATGTTGTCTTAGTGATATTATTAGGGATCTCCTTCCCTTTACTAGATTTGTAATAGGATGCCGACATGCATTGCTTCTCTGTACAAAGGTATTCCATTTAAATCACCCATCCTTACATGATAAAACTGCTTGAAGAAACTGCAGTGACTTTCTATAAATGCTATTATTTTGTTGTTGAAATGTCTGTTCATATCTCTTTAATGCCTACTCACCAATCTCTGTCTGGTCATGTATAAAAGTGTATAGCACATAGGCCTAATACGCTTGATCTCATTTTAGAACTGAGTTTATGTCGAAGTAGTTTATTGCCTCAGGTTTGAATGAACCTACATGTTTTTTCTTCTGTTACCACTGCCCTAGAATGGTTAATGTGCAATCATGAGTTTGACCATGGAAAGATACTGGTATGGAACGTCTGTGTTAAATGTTTAATGTGTCTAATAATCTCCATGCCTACAAACCTGGGAAATAGAACACGTCTGCTTCCCATTTTGTGATGTGTGCTAAAATCATGAACACTTCTGATCTTTATCGTCAAGCATAGCCTACATGAGCCAACATTCTATTTACATGCCAGAGTATTCATATAAATGAGTAGTTTCTTGAATTAAAGGTCAAATTTTTGAAATCTTTTAATCGAGCCACAATGATCAACAAGAAATGAATATGAATCATTGTATTCTTTTATTAGGAGACCTGTAAGGAGTGGGTTTAGCTTACCTATGTAAAAGTCAACCATCACAATTTTCAAACCAAATTTGAATGAATTCAGATTGGAAAACTACTTCCATAGATCATAAGTCTTAGTGATAGATATATCTTTTCACAGGCATGGTGTAGTTGTGTTTAATAGGAAATACTGTCATTGCTTTATGAGTTCAAAATATTCAGGTTTCATTTGAAAAATGGGTTTTAATGAGTGATTCCTAACTCTATTGATGAAGAGGTGATGCTATTATGCCATCCACCTTTTTTTTTGTGGGGGGGGGGGGGGGGGGGGGGGGGGGGGGGTGAAAATTTGACTTTGTAATTTTAATTTTTGGGGAGGTGGTTCCTTTGATGTATTGCTATGCTAAGGAAGTACTGTAAATTAAGCTGTTCTTTAATAGTACATAGCCTTTAAACTATAGATAGTGGACTGTGTCCTAGACTTACAAACTTTTCTTCTCCTCCTAAAGATAATATAATGGGTTGATTCTTCGAAGTAGACCAACACGTATTAGTGGATAGTGAGAGTAGTTTAATAGTGGAAGTTAGTCTACATTCTTCAAACTAGGTTAACATACATTATAGAGGGGGTAAAGCTGAGTTCACCCCATTCTGACTAAGCACTGAGGAGGATTGTTATTGGTACCTGGGAGAGTGCAGGGTAATAGGAGAAGTTTGCTTATGTCATGGTATCCTTGCTAGTGATACGCCTGTATAAACATGGACCGATGGTGGTAACACCTGACATGGCATAGAGACACAATCTTGCTTGGTTTACACCCAGATGTGTCAAGAGTTATTCCTTTATGTTATACCAGGTGTCTGTTTTCCACTGCCCCCTATGTGATCTACTGCCTATAAAGGATGAAGAATACACAATCCCTGATAGTACATACATGTAGATGCAGTGAATCCGTTCTAATTTATTTTTTTAGCTCCCTTTCATGTAATCAAAGAAGACTTTAAAGTACTATTCTACAAATTTTTGCTCTTTAAAATGTAAGCTTTTTAAGGTGTAAGAATTCAATATATTTGTGATAAATGAGTCGTAATTTATTCAGTATTTGTTATGAATCTTAAGAGACCTTGTAAATGCGTTTTCAGAATGGTAGCTCTGCTTGTTTAACAGGCATATATAGTGCTTTGCTTCATTCATGCCTATCTTATCTTATTAAGAGCATGAATGTTTTCTTCTCTTGGGTTTCAATGGGTTTGGATGCTTGTCAATTCCTAGCTATTAGAGGTATTCAATCCTAAAACTGAGCATCTACTTTTGTTCAAATCTATTTAACACTGTTGACATTATGAATCATCGTTAAGCAGGGCTCCCACTTCGCCGAGTTGTGGCGAGCTGGCGCGATCTTATGGCAAGCCGTTTTATCATTAAAACATATTTCTTGATATCAAGAAATAATTTTACGTTGTAAAGCAATGGTAATTCATGATATCAAGCATTCGATTTCGTGATATCAAGAATTCGATTTCGTGATATCAAGAATTCGATTTCGTGATATCAAGAATTTGAATTTGTGATATCAAGAAATATGTTTTATTGATAAAACTGCTTGCCATAAGATCGCGCCAGCTCGCCACAACTCATGGCTCCAACTCGGCTAAGTGGGAGCCCTTCTTAACAAATAGGTTCTGAAGAGAAAGAAAGAAAAAAATCTGCAATCAATTCTGCAGGAGTGATAAAGCAAATTTTGAAATTTGCAGTAGAATAATTAATACCTCTGTTAATCATTTGTCATTTTGTTTGGCAATAAATGATATCATTTTGTAGATAGCGCCCTGCTTTCTTATTCATGTTTGCTATCCGTTCGATATGGTACATTTAAGTGTGATGGTTGAGAAAATGTTGAAATGAATGCTTAAGTACAGATTTCCCTTCTGTTTCCTTTTCTGTATAAATGTGTTAATCTGAGATAACAATGTTGCATTTTGCAGTTCCTGGTATTTATTCTTCTCTGGAAATGATGGACTTTGGAACTCTACGCACTCAAGATGAACCGAAAACCATTCCCCTCTATTTACTAAATACGGGTCCAAAAGTCGTGCATATATCGGTTAGTAACTAATCAGCCATTTCTGTTCGTTAATAAACCAAGACCATTCCCCCTTTATTTGCTTGATTTAGGTCCAAAGTTTGTGCATATACTGGTTAATAATTATCAAATCAATTTGTTGTGTTTATAACTGAAGATCTTCCACCGGTATATACTGAAATTTGATCAAAAATTCATACACATTTATGTTATTTACTAATGAATCAGAACTATGTGTTCATTAAAAAATAGTTCCTATAATATAATGCCAAAAGTCAAGCATTTTCTACTTAATGTTGTCTTATTGTCTATTATTGAATCAGATTCTTGCTTATATGCAACTTGACACTATGTTTTTTATTGTTTCACAATTACTCAACATCGATTTACAGTGAATCAACAATTCAAGATGACTGGAAATTGCAAAAGATTCAGGAACACTTTTGAGTGTGGATACTATTTTGTGTTCTTGAAAATGTTCTTTCACCTCCACAGTCTTGACTTAAATACCTCCTCTTCTCACCCCACCCCCTCCTAATGAATGTCACAAATAGCTTATTCTTTTCTATTTTTTCTTCTTTTCAGTCTGTATCCCTAGTTAGAGCCAACCAAGCTATTTCAATAGATTTCAGTCCGATGGGGTTGCGGCCCTCAGACACACACATCAGGGTTGCCAATTTGACCTTTCACCCTAGAAGAGCCAATCATACAAGACTCTGGTCAGGAAAGATCATTATAAAGACGAAGGAAAAAGGCTTCAAACTTCTGATTCCATATCAAGCACATGTACTTCAAGGGTAAGTAAGAGATTCAAATACCATTTCCAATCTCAGGCTTCCATACTTGACCAGTTATTACAACATTGACATCGATCTAAGCTTTAAGTCTACACAATTTGTGAAAGTTAGAGCACAGTAATCAGTGAGGTTCTTGAAAGTTGTGTTGTGCAGTACTGCTCCTTGTAAATTGTTATTACTATGGCATACCTTAATATGTTGAGATTGATCTATTTACTGAAACACACCAAAAAATGCAGGGCAGTGTAATTTATGGAAGGTTTTTAAAAATTCATTTTGATTCCAAGTAGTGACTGATTGGCAAAGAATGTTCTGATTGTACACCCCCTTCCAATAGGATCATTTGAATATTAAATAGATGCGGTATTATCCTTCATGCTGTCATGTACCTCATGATCTGATTCTTACAATTGTTTTGACCTTAATTTATTTATTTTTCATCCATTTTCTTGCAGTATTCTTAGGTACAGTAGGAACAACACCTTGTTTTACTTGTCAGACCCTCCTCCAAAAGGTATGACAGAGAGGAATCTATCACTCACAAATCTCTTCAACTTCTCCATAGTTCTGCATAGCATGAAGCTCGTGGATGATGCTAAAGAGGTTTTTAGTGTGAGTATTTGGGCTCATGGAGACATTTTTAAACGATTAAAGTTGTTAACATCAACTACATTGACTACCGTGATATAATACTTTGAAAATCATGTTCCATTTACCGTTTCAGTAATCCCTGTTAAAGCTCCTCTAAAGTGTTGGGAGCCCTTGGGATAACCTTAAAGCATGACATGCTTCCTGATACATCTCTAGACTGTCCCGTTGAGCTGCCATTTCAGTTTTTTTTTTTTAGTTTGGCTAATCAGATTCATGTTAATATTTTGAAACCGACATCCTCCCAAACCAAATTTTATTGCATAGTCAAGGATTGCACAAAAGATCATGACATTTTGGCCAGTGAGAATTGTATTTTTTTATCAATGATTTTAAAGTCAATAATAACTATTATAATTGTGTTCATAAGTTTATATCATTTATATTATATCTTATTTTGTCATCATTGTATACGATATGTATTTCTGTTAATTCATGTATAATTAAATCTTTAGATCAATCATGTAATTTATTGTATATTTGATTGTTGTAAAGTGCATAGAGAATTTATTATTATTATGCGCTATATAAAAATTACTTTATTATTATTATTATTAATAATAATAATAATAATAATAGCTAGTTCTTATATAGCGCTTTTCAGGACCGAGGGCCCTCTCAAAGCGCTTTACAGATACATATATTACTACCCCGGTCATCGGATTCAGGCTAACCTGCACACAATGTATGCACATTCTCCACTCCCTAGGGAGCATTCCAGCCAGGTGTCAATTACACATTTTGTTTGTTTGTTTGTAATTTTGTATAACATGCCCTTATTCTTCTTTACAGGTGATGAATGTCAGTCTACCTGTATCGATAACACCGCAACAAACATACAGTGATTTGGTGTTACGCTTCAACCCTGCAAACGCATCTCAACCTGTGTCTGCTACACTGAAACTTAACACCAATGCTTCAGTGTTTACCGTTCCAATCTATGCCTATACTGGCAAGTTAAAGGTTAGTTCAGGTTTTTTAGGGATGTAAAACCTTATTTTATGCAAAGTGAAATTTAATAATAATAATAATAATACAGACATTTATAACGCGCAACATATTCACCCAGAGGGTGCTCAAGGTGCTTACAATGAGCTGCATAATATACTTAGATATAATTTTGCTTACATTACATTACATTATACATGGTTTAAAAAAAGATGATATTAGTTAAAGTTGGCCATTAGATAAGTTTTCAGGCTGGCCTTGAAACTATCTACTGATTTACAGTCTTTAAGTGTAAGATGCAAACTTTTAATTGTTTGCTCTCGCTCTTACTGATGTTTTATTATAAAACAAAACAGTTTTACAGTTATCATGCCCTCTGAATTTGATCATTATCTTGACTGTCTCAATGAATAGGGAGACTGATGTTGAAGTGTTAAAGGCTAGCCACTTTTAGAATTGAATATACTTAATTTTTGTAAGTACCATTTTATCTTAGGATTTAAAAAAAGAACAAGAAAAAGAATGTTGTTGAAGAGAAATACTGATACTGATCTTACTAATTTTTGTCAGTAAAGTTGATATAGCTGTTATTTAGAAATGTATATCATTCAGTATCTTTTGCTTATCATAGTACTTCTTTTTATCAACAGTTTTCTATAAGCTCCGATAAGGACAAGGTTGACTTTGGTACGATGAGTGTAACAGATACAAGAACAACATCGATAGAAGTAGTCAACAATAACCCTGTGGAGGTAAGTTCATTTTTAGGTACTGGATTCTCTTCATGTACATATATGCTTCCTATGTCATAAATAATATAAAATACATGTATGATACTAAAGAGTAGTGACAATGACTGCTGTAAATCCCACCCAGGCGGATGACTGAAGCCTGTGTTGTGTGTTAACGTGCCCCTCCCCTTGTTCATAGACACAGGCTATGTTAAGTGGAAAACATTCCGTCCCTCAGATAGGACGTTAAATAGAGGCCCAGTGTAGAGAAGAGTCACTGCACTATTCGTATAAGAGTAGGGGGAAACCCCGGTGTACGTGGTCCACCTGCACACACCCCAGTTAGTATGATACTACTCTGTAAAGAGGTATGTACTCAAAATGGAAGAAGAACAATCATGACAATGCACTGCAAAGTTAGTCACCAAGGCAGGGTCTCAGAACAAGAAGAAGAATCAGGACACCAGCATTAATGTGCTCATCATAACTTAACAAATATAGTTATTATTCTTTGATCATGTTATCTTGATAGAAAGTAAAGATTTCTTTATTCAAGTAATATCAAGATGCTGCCATTCAAAGACTTGAAGCATCTTTTGTAAAGTAAGCATTGTTCTACATTGGTAGGTAGAGACATAAATTTATGTTTTTATCTTCTCTTATTACAGGTGCCATTAGAGATGTTTTCGTGTACATTAGAGAAGTGTTTCATGTTACTCAGGAGTATAGAGAGAATAGATGATAGCAACATGGATGGGAATGAAGACACGGTCATACCCTCACCCAAAGCAGTAAGTCATTAATAATTTAGTTGATCTGATTTTGCCTTCATTAATTATGATGCAACCCCAAGCAATGGTCAGATTGTACTGCTCTTCACTTTTCATGTGCCACACTTTATGCCATTAGTTTTATGCCATTAATTTCAGTGCTTCTGTTTATCCATTTATAATGAATTGAAATTTATGTGTTTAAATCCATGCTTCATAAATGTTTTGCAAGATGGAATCTAGGTTACACTTGCAATTTTTATCAACTTTTGTAGGATGTAGTATGTTTTCTTCTCCTTCTAAATTCCTTTGCTGACATGCTTTCATCATCATACAATGGTTGTTTGACAAAAGGACAGTTGAGACGGGGTGATTTCTTGCATAAACCAAATTCATAACTTCAACCCTAGATCCAACGCTATACCTTACATAACACTAACCATAAACCTAACCTAAACCCAATTTCAACCCTTACCGTGTACATTTGACAAAATATAACTAGAGCAATTGTCGCTACAGCAAATGTCTGATCATACAAGATATTATGTGACATAAGATAACAGTTGATATAATAATGTTATGAAAGCGTAGTATTGAGACCGTTCCTCTCTCCTTCATTCTGTTAGGTTGTTATACCAGCTGGTCATGTAGCTAACTTTGTTGTGACGGTGACGGCACCACTAAGTGAAGGTCAGTTTGTAGGTGAGGTCATCTATAAGACAGCGTATGAAGAGAAAAGAATCATGGCTACCTTGAAGACTGTAGAAGGCTACCTCAGTGTACGGCCAGATTACATCACTATGAAACCATCATTCCCTGTAAGTATTATATCATTCACATTTATACATATTTAGTACTATACTTATATTTTTATCTGTGTATATTAAATAGGATGCTCGTTCTCATATTTATGAAATAGTGTATAGTGTATATATATATATATATATGTATTATTGTGTATTGTATCTTAATTTTCTATAAGTAGAAATACAAGTATGATGTCATTAAGTTTTTATTGATGCAAAGCCACTAGTGAAGAAAGACAAAAAACATAAATAGACGATAATTTCCATGTACTACTCTTTTTGTTGTTTGGTCCGATATTACCACTGCTTCCAATGTGATATAAAATCTGTTCTACATTAATCAAAATTTGAGTTAGTAATGCAGTATTGTGTCACGTTACTGACTATCTATCTCTCTTGGTTTGTGCAGGGTTCGTAATGCAGTATTGTGTCAAGTTGCTGACTATCTCTCTTTGTTTATTTGTGCAGGGTTATACACAGTCTCAGAGCTTCACTGTTTCTAATAGCTTCAGTCATCGGCTTAGAATAGAGAGTATAGCGCCCGACCCTCCCGATGATAGGTTCTATTACAAACCACCGGTCAAAGTAGTCAACGTTGAAGTAGATGCACACAAGAAACAAAAGGTTAGTCAAACTGAGATTTCATCATCTGTTGTGTTTATCACCTGACATTGTAATTGAAGATTACTGATTACAGCTTATGCTCATTGTTGATGTTGGAGTATTACAGGAATTGTATGTTGTAAAACATTTATAAAATAGTAATAAATGCTATTAACATTCATCATAATGATGATTTTAGATGACAATAACTGTATGAATAATTTGCTCATATTCATGCCAAGAATACTGAAAGTACATTTTTGATAGTACTGTATTAACCTTTCTTTCAAGAGTGTATCGTGTTGCTCATAGGTGTCTTAAGTTTGTCCATTGATTGTTTTTTAAGTGGAGTAATGAATGAGTTTGAGAAAAAATGAGTTGAAGGTTTTCATAACTATGTTTCTTTCGTCACAGATTGGGAGGATAGTCTTTGATTCCAGGAAGCAGTGTGCTACAGACTGTTATGTAGGATTACAACCAAACTCACCACGTAAGTCGGGAATTAAAGACGCATCTGACTTTTCTTAAATATAAATTGTTTTCTCCACCTATTTTCCCATCAGCAGAAGGAGGTCGATTTGCTGATAAAAAGGCAAATTTGGTTTATTTACAAAACAAAAGTTAGATTCTGATGTGGTATATCAAAAATATCCTATTGCTTAAGTTGTGAGTTTAATAATAATAATAATAACAATAACAATAGTATGCTTATAAAGCGCCTAATACATCTGCAATTTCCAAGTTTCTAAGTGCTTTACATTAATACCACCAAGATAGAGCATTTATTGGCAGATATGAAATTAATGTCTATGATTATCTTGTTTCTTAATAGAATCTGAGATGTGGTTGTCATCGCTTGCTTTGCCTGATGATACACAGGACATTGACAAGCTTTCCTACAACTACCTGCGTAACAAATGGTACAAGCTGGTAGAATCAGGACAGACAAGGTGAGTTCACATATCAATTGTTTCTTTATATATTGTATATTGATTTGTTACAGTTGGTTGCCTTGCAGGGCTTTTACTTATTTGTACACTTTTTAAAACTTTTGTTGTGGAAAATAAATAAACCTTAGAATGTATGAACCTGTCTTGATGTAGATGAAGAATGCATTCAGAACTAAGTGCAAAACAATAGTCCACCCATGATATATTAATGATGTAGTTAGTTGACAAGGTTAATATTTGTATATTATGTTATGCATCGATTTGATATGTTTATAGGATCACTGCAGTTTGGAATGATTACAGTTCTGTATTTAGGCTACCTGTTTGTATCAAGACACAAACAATCTCAAACTTTTATTACAGTGTAAACTCATTAATTCATTTATTTCATGCATTCCTTGCATTGTCAAGATTCAATTTTTAATGCCAGCTTTCAAGTTAACATGTCAGTTTTTTTACTGCTATTATTGCTATTATTATTATTGTTGTATTTTCTTTGTATCCTCAAATGTATTTATATATTGTTTATGTTGCTTGTATATGTACGTCACTCGCCAGTGGAGGACGAATTTCTGTATTATTTTAATCAGACAATAAATTATCTTGAATCTTGAATCTTGAAACACCACAATGTATCTTGATCTTTTCTTCCAGTGTGAACACCACGATGTATCTGAATAGCAACCTAGTGAAGAAGATACCTATTACAGTCCAGGCAGAGTTAGAGTGGCCTACGCTAGCAGATAGACAAGAAGCAAAGTTTCCTCTCACATACATCGGCAACACTTCAGTAAGTTACCTTTTATATGCCATCCACAAAAAGGATGTCTTACTTCATCCACACACAAAATCTGTCTCCTTTGTTCTCCATATATTTGTACATGGTTTACGGTTTGGAATGGAAAGTTATTTGAGATTTCATGCTGATGATAACTTGTTTATGTCTGTTTTACAAAAATTTTGCTTAATTGAACTCTTCATGAGGTCCATTATAAAAGTATACATCTTTTCAATAATACATCAATATGTTACTTAATTGAGTACTAGATGCAGAATTATAGTGTATACAGTTATGGCAGATTAGATGTAGGGTGGTAATACGTTAAAGGTTAAAAGGTTTAGATGCGTATTTATGAACTGTTTCCTGAATATTTTCTTGTTAGTGTCTGTTTTTGTATTGCTTGATTTCTAGATTGCTGAGGTGACCCTATTGAATCCTACAGACAGACTGGTAGTAGCTCAGCTACTTCCCATCTCAGCTTACCAGGATCCAGCAGGGGCATTAGATCTACTTACAGAAAGGTAATACCAGTCTCTAATAATCTAGTGACTCAATCAAAATACCCTGTGTAGAATTGATTAACAAATAATAATAATAATAATAGCTAGTTCTTATATAGCGCTTTTCAGGACCGCAGACCCTCTCAAAGTGCTTTACAGATATATATATTACCTGCTGACTCTCTTTTCATTTAAGGAAGGTGTACTCTGTGAAATATAACAGTGATTGGATCAAACTCTTCATTATTTGCATCATCACCCATTTGGATATGAGTATGAGAACAGCTTGCATTCCCAGTTCAGTGTTATCTTGTGTAATCATGAATATTGATGAATCGTATTGTTATCTTTGTTTGCCAGCAGTGAACAGATGGATCCAGAGTTCATAGAAATTGATGATCCTGAAGTCTTCTTTCTAGCTGATGTTAAAGATAAGGTAAGATTAACCATCTATTAATGGTTCATCCATAGTTATATGTATATTTTATGTAAAGTTATTCCCCCACCCCCTCCATCTATGTATTACTTTTAATACAATACGGTTTCTATCAAATTGTTAGTTATAGTTTAAAACCAAATACGAATAGGGACAGCCAATATACATATACTGTTGAATAAGCAGATTCTAAAATGATTAGTGATTAGCTTGAACAGAAGTAAATTTCAACTGTCAGACTCAGAGATATATCTAGTAAAAGGTAATCTTGTGTATAAAGGTTTGGTATCAGACCAAAATTAGTTACAGTCATGTCTTGACTCTATAGTTATTCTAGAGGCAATTTCAAAATTCACATGAATGCCTCTGTAATTTTTAAGTGTATATCATTGCTACTTTTTTCATATTTAAGGGCTTGCCTCTTGGAACATCATGTTTGTATCATAGTAGTATGTTGTTTTGAAAGCTAGTTGTTCATCAATCTGTCAAGAGGAAGTTTTACTGAATGTTCATTGTTCTTTTGTTTACAGTCATCACCAGGAAAATGCCTCAAATCTCAGCGTGAAGCAGTAGAGAGTTTGATAGGTGTGAAGACAAGCCCAGATGCTCTCATTGTTAGTATCAAACCTAAACAGAATGTTACAGTTCATCTAGGGTTTAGACCAACTGATACTAAAGAAAGATATTCCCTCATCTTAATTAGGTAAGTACTCTAAAGCTTTGTCTCTGTTTGGTTTGAATTAGTTCCAAAAGTTTATAAGATAAACATCTTGTTGTGACTTACATTTTAGCTTCTTAAATTTAAAATATTGAAACATTGTATATATGCATGAGTTTGGGTGTATTAAATTACACATGTTTATTTCAAATATTTGTGGGACAAGGAATATTCCATAGATATGTTTTCTGTTATACTTTGAAAGGGGAGCTGTTTATATCCTATATGTAAATATTTTTTGGAGTTAGTGCTTTTCAGATTTCAGATGTTGCTAAGTTCAGGGTGACCTTCTGTCAGTGCAGTTACAGTGCCGGCCATGAACATGAGCTTTGAACTAATCTTCCTACCACTTGTTTGTTTATAACAGGAACAACCTGACAGTGTTAGATGCAGTGGTAGTACAGGGCCAGGGAGGTTCAGGAGAGCTTAGACTTAACAACAAACGACCTGGTGTCAACAGCAATCTACTATTTGAACTTAAAAGTAGCCATCTTGTCGACTGCAATAGTAAGTATACAAATAATACACCGCAATCACCGAGTTGAAGGACCGCAATGGCTCCTCGCTGCAAGCAATAAAGAAGTATATCGCTATCATTTTTTCGGGCATTAGTAAAATTACCCACACTCTGTACCTTAAAAACAGTCCAAACACCCTCAGCAATAGTATACCATAATGAAACCTTATGTGTCTTGATTTTTTTGATTTTCTTTTTGTACTTGTGCACTATATAATTAATTAATTTATTATTATTATGATTATTATTATTGTTATTATTATTATTTTTTTTTTTTGGGGGGGGGGGGTGGTATACAAAGGTTGGGATCTATGGGCATTTTATTCTGGAAAGAAACCATTTTTCTCTGTCAATGATACTTGATAATCATTTTGATGAGGATTAAGTCTAACACTAGATTGTTGACAATCCGACTTTCTACCCTATTATTATGGGAATTTTATTTATTAATTTTCTGTGTAAGAAGATCTTGAAACATCTCATGCATGAAGTTACAGTTGAATACAGTTGAATACAGTAGAGGAATAAGAATATTAATTTCATGATGCATAAACAGCGAGATTGATTAGGAAAGAGATTGTTGTTGATATTGAATTGCACAAAAACATAAAGACTAATCCTCCTCATCTTCTTTTTTTTCTAGAAACATCTCCTAAAGCAAGGAGTCCACCCAACTTCACTGTGAAGAGAACATTCAACATGAAGAACACTGGTCAGTTACCACTATCCATCGATACATTCCTCATCAATGGGAGACTGTGTGAGGGCTATGGTTTCAGGGTCTTACAGTGTAGACCAGTGGAGATTCTACCCAATGAAACAAGGAGGCTTGATATAGCGTAAGTTATCTTTAATATCCCAAGACAGATGAATAATTGTAGAAGATAGTGGGACTGGATCCTATAATACATGCTGGAAAGGGAAGCTGGTTTAGAAGACTACCTTGTATTATACAAGGATGAAATTAACCGAATTGAAGAGCACTTTGAATGTGTGAAGAAAGAAGAATGGAGAGGAGAGAAGAAGACAATGAAAGTGATTCATAATTTGGAGATGGGGGGGGGGGCTTGAAATTATGAAGAAACAAAATTGACATTGTAGGTCTTTCAAAATTCATCAGTAAAGAGTCAAAATTTTCATTTTGAATGTTAAATTAGTCAAACAGAGACTACATCTTGCAATAGAACAGAGTGTTAATATAGATGTTATGTAACAAATTTCAAACCTAATAACTATTTTGTCTCCTTCAATCCACAGATTCACACCCGACTTCACTCTAAACCGAGTCACACGTGAGCTAGAGGTTGTAGCCTTTACTGGTGAGACGCTATCCTTCACACTCATAGCTACTCTACCGCCTAACATGTTAGCTCCATGTACAGCTGCCTTACCGCGACCTCAATGGGAAATCCCCCTCCATCTCCTGTCTGTATGCCTGATGGCTCTTCTCTTCCTGGTCATAGTAGCAGTGTCCTACCTTGAGATGGTCAGGTATCTAGAACCAATAGGAACCAACAAGGCTAAACTATCAGAGGCTGATCAAGATGAGATTGATTCTATCAAACCCTTTGATCTGAGGAATATAGCTGGGTTGAAACCTGTACCACATGGTGGGGTTGGTGGTGATGGAGGTGATAGAGGAGGTGCTGTTAGTTTGCCAGGAGGAGCAGGTGGTGGTGGAGGGGGTGCAAACTCAACGGCAGCAAACAAAGCAAAGTCTAGGTGAGTTTCTGTCTATGATAGGTCTTCTGAGATTAAAATTCTTGTAAGATCTTAATTAATAATTTTTGTGATAACTTAAGCGTTTTTTAGAATGGATCAAATGGCATAATGAATATCCAAGTAGTGGATTGAACAATCCATGGCATGCCAGTTCATAAATTGTTCACCTTCTCATTTGTTGATCTTGAGGACAGGTCTAGTGTTTCACACACATGATATAATAAAGATGCTTGATTACATATGGCCATATGTACTTGTTTCAGTTTTGGTTATATATTGAATTTCAAAGATAAAGACACATTTTATGTTTTTGAAAAGATGTTGTTAAATGCTAATTCTGAATTCTCAAATTTGTATTCTTGTTTTGTTTATTTTTGTGACAGAGCATCGAGTCTCCTGTCTTCGTTAGGTGAAAAGCTGAACATATTTTCTGGGAGCAGATCGGTTTCCAAATCTCGTTCTGTTTCTAGTTCGGTAGCCAACAATACACGGCAGGCAGAGAGTCGCGGCTCCATTGATCGGGAAAAAGTCCAATTGAACAATTTAAACAGTACTACAACCTCGTCAGCTCCTAAAGTTTTTAATAGGGCGCCCTCTGGTCAGCCAGCATACACGCTGCAAGATCGGAAGGCTTCTCGGAGCAAGCGAGGTCTCCCACCTGATTTTGAAAATAATTTGGAATCAGAACCAGTTGGAAATAACAGCGAATATAGCAACGGTAGAGTCTTGTCTAGCGAAATGATAGATGAGAATCATGTGAACCACGCTGGAGATTACGAATCATCTTACCAAAAGCATAACTCACGAATGAGAGGTAAAGTGAGTGGAAGAGGAGATGAGGGACACATGGGGTCAGAGGTTAAAGATGACGAGATTTCATCGACCACTACAGAAGAATCAAATGCAGAGTCAGAATATTCAGAGAGAAGCAGCAAACAAGTGAGTGCAAAAGAAAGAATATCATTTGTTAGCAAGATAGATGAAAAATATTTCAATCTTAATTTCAAAACATTCTTAGACAGTCTCCTCCTCATAAAGTGAATCTTATGTATGGTTCTGCCAGGCATGCTGTAAAGTTGTTACTGCTGAGCTGAGCAATTTCTATTGACAAATTCAATAAGTTGTTCGAAATCCTTTTTGCTGAACAGTTGATAGTGTCCCTTCTCATAGAGTATCCCTCAATGAGTTAATAGTTGTATATACTCAAATGCAGATGGTTGTTATATGGGAGATGTTTATGCAGTGACACATTTATGATTGATTTGTGCAGAGTTTACAAAATGGAATGTATAATGTACTTTACTTATCTCTTGTTACAGTATGTTGATGACGATGCTAGCCTTAGTGAATCAGGAGTGTCTAATACCCCTGCTGATATATATAATTTACTTTCCATATCTCTTGTTACAGTATGTTGATGACGATGCTAGCCTTAGTGAATCAGGAGTGTCTAATACCCCTGCTGATATATATAATTTACTTTCCATGTCTCTTGTTACAGTATGTTGATGACGATGCTAGCCTTAGTGAATCAGGATTGTCTAATACCCCTGCTGATATATATAATTTACTTTACATGTCTCTTGTTACAGTATGTTGATGACGATGCTAGCCTTAGTGAATCAGGAGTGTCTACTACCCCTGCTGATGACCTTGAGGCTGAAGGTCAACGTTTAGCTGCTCAACGATTCAAGAATGTCAAGTCTAAGGGCAAACCTCGTAAGGGATCGTCGAAGGCTAACTCTAAATCTACTTTTCATGGTGACGTCTGCCGACCAAGGTAAGCTATGCCCTACTCAAACTATTATTTATTGTACACCATAACAACCAGGCATGGTGCAATAGGTTGTATGAATTGTATGAATTGTAAGAATCAGGAGGGCGTTTCACAAAACTTGCCATCAGTGACAAATGACAGTTTGTGTTATAAGCTACTGAAATCCTTGCTTCTGATTGGTTATCAGCAGATTTGTCACTGATTTTTGTCATTTGTCATTGAATCAAGGCTTTGTGAAATGGGTCCCTGATGTAAAACTATCTTTCTTGTTTTGTTTATCCTCATATCAAGCCTTACATTTTAGTAAGTTGAGCAATTTTGAAGATTTCGGTATGACTTCTGGTCCAAGATGAACACATGTTATAACATGCTGCATGTGTCTTTTCACGTTCAGCACCCTGGAGCTACCATACACGACAGCTTTGGAGGCAGGTCGTCGTCAGGACAACTTTGACAAAGAGCCGACCTCACCACACTCCATTGCAGCAAAGGTCGCTGCCAAGGCAACTAAGAAAACAATCAAGGTTTCTAAGAGTAAGTGATCTTATTTACTAATCAGAAAAGGGTTTGCTATAGAGTATGATTTTAAGGTTTTAATGACATTGGCATTACACTGCCAGTAATTTTGCATGGTAACAACATACATGACATATGATTTTTAGTCAACAGTTGGAGTTGATAGTTTGTGATTCAGGTGAGTAAGAGTAGCATTGTCTCATTGATACTCTAGTAAACAGATATTAAATAGAAATCAGAGTGATGACACTGTGTTCAATATCCAGTATCTCTGTCATATTCAAATTTGGAGTTCTTCATTAAATGAGCTCTTATTTGTCCTTGCCCTTTCTCAATTCAGCAGGCAAGTCAATGGACAGTGATGCAACCAGTACAACAAGCAGTGAAGCAGACAAGGACTCACCCCTACCCCTATGGGATCAAGCCAAACCTATCCCATCAGGTCCTGCTCATCAACGCCCAACGGCTCAGACACAGCAACCCATCGGATCAGCTCCACGTCCTAGTTCAGCTGCTGCTGGGTTGATTGCTAGGCCTATCAGCTACAGCAGTGCAGTGTCTGGGGCAGCTCAGGGGGAAGGAGCAGGGCCTAACGCAGAAGAGGGTAAGACTCCTAACACCAAGTCTAAACTGACCAAGCAACTATCAGCACCTGAAGAGAAGTCTGCATTCAGTACTGTCAACGACACCAAGCCTACCCATCCAGGTAGGTCAAATCATTCTTGACAGAACTTCGTACAAACTTTGTTATTACCGTTTAAAAGAAAAAAGTTACCATTCTCTTAAAAAAATTGTGCTTGGCAAAAGAGCATACAAGCAAGGAAAACAAGACAAATGCAAGGACCAATTAGTGAACTAAATTTTATGTAACAAGGTGTGTAACATTTATTTCTTCAATATTCTCTTTAGGATGTTTATAAATGGCTTGCACCATTTTAAACAATATGTCTACAACTTATAGAAATAATTTATTAATAAAACATATAGATAATGCATGTTCAATGCAAAGTCACTTGGGGGGGGGGGGGGGTATTTTTGTCTTTTATGCATTGATTTTATGAGTGATGTTGTATGTTAATGTGTAACAGGAACCATTGGAACGAAGCAGAATAAGAGCAACAAGCCCCGCTCTGCTGGAGCCACTGTTCAACAGCCTCCATCATGGAGTCAGACTGCGGGACACGTAGAAGCTAGTGGTAGCAGCTCAGATACAGGATCATCAGCTGGTCCTGCTAGGTGAGGCAAACTTCTTCTTTCATATCGAGGGTTCAGTGACACAAAGATGTAACTCCATATTTTGCCAAAATGAGTATTTGATATAAAAATGTTCAGAAAAATGTGTTTTTTCCAGGAAACACAAATATTTAACTCCACCCAACACCCCATTGAAGTCAATGGCTAGTAAAACATAGACCTAACTCCTTAAGGCCCAAGTGCTCAGTGACACATAAACCACTTTTTCTCAAAATGGAGTTACGTCTTTGTGTCACTGACCCCTCGATATGGTGTTTAGGGATAGATCAAGGTTGGAGATCCAGACAGGGTTATCATCAGACTTTATCATCAGTAATGCCCAAATAAACAAGTCACTTATTTTTGTTTAATAATTTTTCAATTCAAATTAAGGTTATAGTGGTGTTAGAGGGTAATATGATGTATTTTGGCAAGACATTAATCTACACTTGCCACACTCTATACAGGTGAGGTAAATGGGGTAGTAATTTCCAAATTTGTGATATGAGCTATGCAAGAACTGAATATGATGTATTTAATTCCAATGTTCTCCCATTTTTTTTTTTTATTCCAGTCCAAGTTTCTTTGGCTCCTCTGCTATCAAACTGGACCAGAACTCTGGACTTATGAAGAACAAGAAGAAACCGACCCCGTCTCAATTCAACTTTGTAGGAGGTGAGTGGATTTATTCAGCTTTTCTGCTTTCATATTAGACTAAAGTTCAAGTAGTTATTTTCCATTGTTCTCCTACAGCTAGTTGTTCATTCTCTATACATAAAATTTACCACATGTTCATTCATTGGTAGTCTATGTATCTTTTCGAAAACAGAATCCGTGTTAATCAAACTTCTAGGAAGGGTAATATGTTTCATGCACATCATGAAAGGATGAAATTGAAGTAGATAAAACTTCAGAGAATGAAGTGAAGCCCCCAATTGCTTGTTTATAAATTATTGTTCAGTTTGGACAGAACATCAATTGGCTGCTTTATTATTTTGCAGTTGGAAAGCATGAATTGTTTTCAATTTACATTCTCTATATCAAAATCCTGTATGTATTGATGTTAAATGAGCAATGTTTTGTTATGTTTTAGATGCTTTGGGTGCTGCATCCATGTGGGATAACCCAACTCCATCTCCACTGAGCGCACCCCCAGGACTACCTCCACCAACATCAAGTCAAGGTAACATACCTACCAATTGATTCATCTAATCCTCAATACACTTAAAATTCTTTTATTCAAATATTCAACCTTTTTCTAGTGAATGCAAAGATTTAAATCTAAGAATCTTGAAAGTTTTAATGCAACCATGTAATCATCCAGTCTGTAGGAGCCAGATATTTCATTTTAATATATCTTTCATTCAATATTTGATATGTATTTTCCTATGTGATTAGATGTAGAGAGGTTTAAAAAGAGCTGAAAAGATGATTCTGCTACTAATCAACATGAGGCCTAAAAAAAAAGAAGATGTTGTATTGCCCTTTACATGCAAAAACATGGGTCGGTCGGTTGGAAATCTGCTTTTAAAAAAAAATTTACCCCCTCTTTGGGCTGATATTTCTCAGTTTTGAATGCATAAATATTATTTTTTATCTAAAAAAAATGGTAAAAAAATAAAATAAATTAAAAGCTGACCGTAGATTTCAAGATTTTTGGGTCGGTCGCAAAGGACAATACAACTTTTTTTTTTTTAAAGCCTGAGTAGTAGCTACATTGTGCATGATTGATTGATTATGTTTGTATTTGTTGTAATCAGCAGGAGGCCTAGGTGACTGGTTGGGTTTTGGAGTGAGTCGTGCTCCTACTGCTAGTAGCATGTGGGAGTCAAGTCCATCTACATCTAACACAGCCACCTGGTCTACCAACTCTGCATCACCAGGATACCCTCAACAGGTATGGCATAAACTACTGTAAACGCTGTTATTTTTATGTTTCGCGCTGAGCGACCCCAAAACACATTACTGGATCTTAAAATTTGCGTTGCACGCAATTCAGCCCCTTCAGAACACGCATAAGAAGTCATGCTTATACTTTCTCGAGTTCTAAAATTTGCGCTTGCTGATCTTAGCGCAAAATCCGCGAAAAATAATATACCACAAATATTTCTACTTTTACAGTATATCATCAGACTAGGATTAAACAGAACAAAATACACATGTGTGGGAGTTTGTTTAGAGAAACCAAGAATACACATCTCGATGACTAGAGCTTCTGAATGGTCCTAAGATATAAAAGAAATGAAAAATCATGTGGCGTTCCAGAAAGTACCATTGGCAGTGATGACAGTCTTAAAATGAGCAGCTGATAGTTTGTGATCTCCAATTTAAATCTATAAAAGTTATCATCACTGATTTCCCTCTCTCTCTCTCTCTCTCTCTCTCTTCCTTTTCTTTGTCTCATTCTAACCCTCTATTGCCACCTCTTTATATTTTTCTCTTTCTATCCCCCTCCTCCCCCTCCTCCCCCTCCTCCGCCTCTCCCCTCCTCCCTCCTCCCTCCTCCCACCTCTCCTCCCGCCTCTTTCCCCCTACCCATCTCTGTCCCTAACCGTCTCTGTAACCTATTTGTCCTCCTCTCAGAACTACTACCCGTCTCAAGGTCTGTGGTCTAGCCCCAGCTCCTTGGGCGGAGGAGAGCACACCTGGGCCGGAGGGAGTACTAGTCTCTTTGATAACTCTATCTGGAGTAGCTCATCGGATAATAACAGCTCCCTCATGGATACCAGTGGTGCTCATAATGCAGCAGACCCTGAGGTGAGATTATGGGCATTTCTCAATCATTTTTATCATTATAATTGAAAATTACTTCTATCGCTAAATTGCTCTATGGCGGAAGCTGTTATAATGAAGAAAAAAAATAATAATATCGACAGCAATGTATTCTATAGCACCAGTATCTGCCAGCTTGACACTCTTGGCGCTTTGTTAACTCTGTAGGTACACTGCTTGTAGTATACACAGCTGGGTTAAAACAATATCAAATAGTTGATACTTATACTTCAAAAAATGTCAGTCACACAGAGAATATAACTATTTATTTCTGTTTCTTTCACTATGTGTCTAGGCAACTCCACGAGCTTTTGACCCGTTTCACAGCAGTATCTGGGGTCCTTCTCATGGCAGCGGAGGCCCCAACCCCTGGGCTAACCCCGACACAGATAACAACAAATAGAGAGAAAGACAGTAATCAGCCATGGTTTAATCATAGACAAGCACTTTTTTTCATTTTATTCTCAACTTTTTGTTCCCTCCCCTCCCCTCCCCTCCCCCTGCACAAAAATGTCAAGCAAGTACATCTCATAGTGTTTTAAATTATTGTACAAATCAGATGGTTATCTTTTTTATCTTATTTATATGTAGTGAGATGGTGAGGGTGTTTGATTCGGCTAACATTCTATAACAAATTTGCTCTCAGCCAATCAAATGGCATGATTACAGTAGCTTATAACAGGTATTGTAACGTGCTATTGATCCATTTTATGGTAACATTGGTGATTAACACAAAGCAAAGAATGGGTTTAATAATTGAATGTGATGTGAACTTTCTACCTGAATAAGATAAGTCTAAAGGCAAAATGTATCAATGATCTTTAGGGGTACTATTAACAATGTGAAATGCTATAGACAGCAAGTTAATTGAGTTAACAATACTGGATGAAACGTTTTTCTTAGAAATATAACTTCAGTAACACTGATACCATGTTTTCATCAAAGTGTGTACAACCAAAGCAGAAAACAAAGTACACATTATAAATGACAAAATCAAGATGCTGGAATCCTCATTTTAACTCTCTAGATTGTATTTTCGATGAAAAAAACAACTGTCCATCACTTTTTCTTTTCCAAAACATAAACATTGATAGATGCACATGTCATCCACACACACACACACACGCACACACACACACACACACAAAAACAAGCACTCTCATATGAAGGATTAACAAAATCTTAAATAGTACCTCTACTTTGTTGATGATTAAGTTCTGTTATGCAAGATAATGATAAGCACTGTATGCTATGTTGAATGCCAAATAAAACATGAAGCGCTGGGGATTTTTAAAGTTTGCTATATAAATGTGTATAAATGGGTGCAAGCTTTTGCAATTATGTAAAAAATGTCTTGCATTCCTTTTTTAAAAAGTGTATTGAATGTAATCTGATTGGGATGATGCCCTTTTATTTTACATTTCTTCTCATTCTGGCTTTGTGGTAACCACCACAAGATCGCAGGAATAAAAATTTAATGGATATCCTTTCAACAATTTGTAATTAATTTTTATCTCAATACTCGTTTCAACATTTGTAAAGACATAGTTGGATTATTTCGAAGACAAAATTGTCAAGATTTGGTAATACCTTTTAAACTTTGAAAAAAGAAAAAAGTTCTAAATTTCATTTCCTTCTTCAAAGTTAAAACTTGAATTTAAAAAATATAGAAAGAAAATTAGCATTGTTTCCTGACAGGAGTATATTTTATAATTGTCTGATAGACAATGCATAGTGTATAATAAGCATTATAAATGCTTCCATTTCACATTGTTATATGTGCTAGTCAATTCAAGTTTACTTTTGTTTCCTTTTTATTTGCTGACCAATTGAGGTAATTCAAGTGACAACAGAACATATTTCCCAGCATATGTAATTTGGCAGCTTCAGTCTGTTTTGTCTTGAATATGTTCTTATATAATTGTCACGTTTGGAAGAAAATCTTGTTCCAGTCAGTATGAACTATAGAAACCAAATGTGGATAATTTTGTAGTGAAGTAGCTCGTATGGATGCACTATGAGTCTGGTTGTGGAATTTAATTTTGGGTGAAAGATGTCCAGGTGATATGCAATTAAAACAATGAGTCATAAAGATTCCGAAAGTACTATTGTAGAGTTATGATAACTTGCATATTTAGCCCTGAGCATTTCTGCTAGACTTACAACAAGAAAACTAACCCTGAATAATATTTTCTAAATTTCTTGTGATTTTATTTATTCTTTTAGTGTCCCTATTTTTTTTTTTTAATATTTGAATACCAACAAAGCAACTATGGCAGGAGAAGAAATTCATAATTTATATATTACATTGTTTCATTTTCATGATTCACCATGAAAAAGAATTGTCATTTTCAAGGTACTTACTACTAATTTCATGTGTGTTTCCTTTGTTCTGTTGCCGGAATGGACATAGCAAATAAAGTTCAACACCAAAATGCAGAATAAATAGATTATCTTTTTCTTTAAAACTTTTTTTATCCCCAAACATTCCTTAATAGATTAATGTATAATTCAAGCAGATGAATAAACTTTGAGCGTGTTGAGACAAAAGGGGTTAAAATTGGAAGCAACATTTGCTTGTAAGATGTCAAATTGAATCTAACAGGATGTCATGTATTATAGATGTACCTGGGGATAATACAGCTGGATCAGTGCAATTCTGAGAATGAATTATCCAGGTAAATAAGTAACTTCGATTGTAAAAACAAAGCTTGTTAGAATTGGTACATATTTGTATGTATTTGCTGAAATTGTTATTATTTTTTAAATGATTACACCTTGCTTTTGAGATGTACTTGCTTTCTGCACCCTCCCTTTCCCCCAACGCTTGTTCTATGACAACCTAAGTTGAAAATGATGAGAACTGGCAATTTTCATGTAATGTTATTGCTTTAGAAGCTTTTTGAGTTATGCCAAGATTGTACCACCTGGCTTGTGTTTGTTTATTTACTATGGAGCATTGATTATTGGTGATGGTTTAATGTATCATGTGGGATAAGGAGAAAGAGAAGTGCTCTCTTTGTATCTCATATTACCATATCCATCTCAAAAGACAAATGAGATGGACGTAGACTTAGCCAAAATTAATATGTCAGATAATGTTGTGACGTTGAATGGAGAGAAATGACGCTTTTTGTAATTTTTAGCACTTGAAATAGTTTGAATTCTCTACACGAAGATTAACAGTCTTTCTGCTCTTTTTGTTTCCTCACTAAAGCAAAGCAAGGCTTGTAACATGTATATGACAAATGGGGAAGCGGGGGTATTTTTGCTGTGTATTTAAAAGTCAAAAGTTCGTGGATTCTGCCTCAATTTTTCATGCCGACTCTGACGGAAGTTTAGCCCATGAGAGAATGGGAGAGCATCTGTCTTAACTCTGTCAACTCTGCACTTTGGAACCTGAATGCGTGGTGTGAAGGGAGGAACATCCTTCTCAATAGATAGAAATCAGTGCATTGAATTCTTGAAGGTGTCGAATACTGTATCCTATGCAAACTAGCTTTGCCAAGTCAAAGTTATCAGTTGTTCAAATATGTTCAACATCAGGTGGAAAAATACATAAAACGATTGAAATAAAGAAAAAACTCTTTTGCTGTTTTAAGGGAAGGAGAAGCAAAATGAGGTATTGATGTACCTGGTTTGAGGGCTTGTGACTTGTGAAAGTTATTTCAAACTCACTTGTCATAAGTGAGTATTTAAGCATCTCTGTTATTGAAAACGAGATCTCTTTCTATCTTTATCTCTCGTTCAATAAAATTACAAACTTATTAAAAACGACAAGGCTGCTTGTATGTTTATTGTTTTTAGCATGATTTACTTCTTGTAGATAATGGTTTTGATCTTGATATGTATTTTGAACATGATTACATTCATCTCTCACAGCATCAACATTATTCATGCTGATATAAAACAATGTACAAGTGTTGATAATCAACCTTTGACAAGGAATAATTGATCTAACTTCAGTTTCCAAACTTTTTTGAGGGGTTTATATACATCCTATAGAGAACGTGGAAAGTCACCGCCTAACATTAGTGACAAATGAAAATAACATATTCAACAAAGACTATTAGGCAGGGGCGGATCCAGCCGAGGGGGGGGGGGGGGAGGGGGTGCCCAATCCGTGAGGACATATTAAGCGGCAATAAGAGGTGGGGGGGGGGGGGTAAAAATAATTAATATAATGAATTGTGGTTATCTTCTTTTTTTTGCAAGGGGAGGGGGCCTGCCCCCCCCCCCCTCCCCCCGTGCCACCACCTTAAATCCGCCACCGTATTGGGCCCGGTACTTGGAAAAGAAGAGTATTGAAAATGTGATACAAATACGACTAATATAAGTAATGGTAACTGGGACGGCAATATTGATACCCGTCTGTACATGTGAGTTCACTGATAAAACCATTTCAGACCTTAGGGAGGGCATTTATGAGTATCTTAATAATTTTTCAGAGAGACCGTCAACGGCAATCGAGATGCATTTGAGGTGCATTCGGGACATTCTTGCATTCTGGTCGGGTCGTTCCCACTGCATTCGAGGCGCATTCGAGCGGCAATCAAAATATTCCGACGGCATTCGAAGTGCACTCGAGGTGCATTCGGGACATTCCTGCATTCTGGTCGGGACGTTCCATCTGCATTCGAGCCGCATTCGAGCGGCAATCGAAAGATTCCGACGGCATTCTAAGTGCATTCCAGTTGGGTTCTTTTAGTACCGAAAATATCGAAATAGATTCCAGCGGCAATCGAGATGCAATCGGGACATTTTTGCATCCTAGTTAGGACGTTCCAACTGCATTCGAGCCACATTCCAGCGGCAATCGAAGATTCTGACGGCACTCTAAGTGCATTCCAGTTGGGTTCTTTAAGTACCGAAAATATTGAAAGAGATTCCGGCGGCAATCGAGATGCATTCGAGGTGCATTCGGGACATTCTAGCATTCTGGTCGGGGCGTTCCAATTGCATTCGAGCCGCATTCGAGCGGCAATCGAAAGATTCCGACAGCATTCGAAGTGCATTCCAGTTGGGTTCTATTAGTACCGAAAATATCGCAATAGATTACAATTGCATTCGAGCGGCAATTGAAATATTCCGACAGCATACGAAGTGCATTCCAGTTGGGTTCTTTTAGTACCGAAATTATCGAAAAAGATTCCGGCTGCAATCGAGATGCATTCTTGCATCCTAGTCGGGACGTTCCATCTGCATTCGAACCGCATTCGAGCCGCAATCTAAAGATTCCGAGGGCAGGGAGTGCATTCCAGTTGGGTTCTTTTAGTACCGAAATTATCGAAAAAGATTCCGGCGGCAATCGAGATGCATTCCTGCATTCTGGTCGGGACGTTCAAACTGCATTCGAGCCGCATTCGAGCTGCAATCTAAAGATTCCGACGGCATTTGGAGTACATTCCAGTTGGGTTCTTTTAGTACCGAAAATATTGAAAGAGATTCTGGCGGCAATCGAGATGTATTCGAAGTGCCATCGGGACATTCTAGCATTCTGGTCGGGGCGTTCCAATTGCATTCGAGCAACATTCGAGCGGCAATCGAAAGATTCCGACGGCATTCTAAGTGCATTCCAGTTGGGTTCTTTTAGTAACGAAAATATTGATAGAGATTCTAGCGGCAATCGAGATGCATTCGAGGTGCATTCGGGACATTCTAGCATTCTGGTCGGGGCGTTCCAATTGCATTCGAGCTGCATTCGAGTGGCCATTGAAATATTCCGAGGGCATTCAAAGTGCATTACAGTTGGGTTCTTTCAGTACCAAAAATATCGAAATAGATTCCGTCGGCAATCGAGATGCATTCGAGGTGCATTCGGGACATTCTTGCATTCTGGTCAGGGAGTTCCACCTACATTCGAGCGGCAATCAAAATATTCCGACGGCATTCGAAGTGCATTCTGGTCGGGACGTTCAAACTGCTTTCGAGCGGCAATCGAAAGATTCCGACGGCATTCGAAGTGCATTCCAGTTGGGTTCTTTTAGTACCAAAAATATTGAAATAGATTCCGTTGGCAATCGAGATGCATTCGAGGTGCATTCGGGACATTCTTGCATTCTGGTCAGGGAGTTCCACCTACATTCGAGCGGCAATCGAAATATTCCGACGGCATTCGAAGTGCATTCGAGGTGCATTCGGGACATTCCTGCATTCTGGTCGGGACGTTCCAACTGCATTCGAACCGCATTCGAGCCGCAATCTAAAGATTCCGACGGCATTCGGAGTGCATTCCAGTTGGGTCCTTTGGTACCGAAATTATCGAAAAACATTCCGGCGGCAATCGAGATGCATTCTTGCATCCTATAGTCGGGACGTTCCAACTGCATTCGAACCGCATTCGAACCGCATTCGAGCGGCAATCAAAACATTCCGACGGCATTCGAAGTGCATTCCAGTTGGGTTCTTTCATTACCGAAAATATCGAATTAGATTCCGGTGGTAATCGAGATAGATCGTGATTTTCCAAAAAAGAGTAAAAACATTGGTCTTTTTTCGGTTATAGTTTAGGTATTTATTTTGGAGTTCAAATAGTTGAATTATAGTTAGAAATGAAATTAAACAAGAAAAACAATAAAAGACATGAGTTAAAAAACAAAGAAATACATACGAAATTATCAAAATATTGGATAACATAAGGAGTAACCTGGCTCTTCCAATTTTTTGGTAGGTATTAATATCTCAAATTTTCTTAATAATATATGTAATGAAAACTAATGTTTAAATTTGAAGAATATATGGTTTACGGGCAAAAATGTGAATTTCATGAACTAAGTTGCATAAATTACCATCAATATTCAAATAAATGATTTAAAAAAAAGATTACCATAGTAATTTATACACTTCGCTTGACATGCATGTGCATTTTCTATGATCTCGGCCGTTTGACGGCCGAGATCATAGAAAATCTAAGGTAGTGACTAAGGTAGTGACTTCAATGCTAGATGTACAATTATAGAGATGAAACGATAAAACCGACCATTATTAATGATACAAATTGGGAAAAAATGATCTGATCGATTCCTTAATTCTCCGAACTATATTATTGGAATTCCATTACATTTTAGGTGAATGTAAATCGTCACAAAGCAATAAATTGGCTCTACATACCATTCCAGACATTTAAGTGTTGACATCTCTCTTCCTCTCTCTTCCTTCTCTCTCCCTCACTTTCCCTCCGTATCTCTCCCTTCCCTCTCCCATCTCTCTTTCTTTCTACCCTCCCCTTTTCTGTCCCCCCCTCTCTTTCTCTCTCTTTCTCGTCATTTCTCTCCTTCTCGATTTCCTCGTCATCTCTCGCCTTGGCCTTGCTACATGTAGCCAGCCGTTGAATATTGTATTTTAACCATATTTTCATGTACGTAAAACAACATGTTTTTCTTAAGTGTAGGCTATATATTTTGGTTCAATTTTATTTAAACTATTCAATCTCATTGTAAATCAACCATTATGAGTTCCTGAACTTTACGTGTTGATGTTTTTAAACCGAATAAATAAATAAAATAAATAAATAAAGCACTGACTCGCGAATTTCTGCGCCAGTGTCGTGCTAGTAATCAAATAGTTGGTAGGCTCGATACCAACGCGTTGCTAGATATCCCGGCCTATCTCTTCTGCGGGCAAACCTGAATCCGATGAGCGGGTTTTTTGTATAATTATATCGGTTAGAAGCTCCAATACATTGTCAATTTATTAAGCCCTCAAACCTAGAATGTTATTATTACCATTATCATTATTAAGTGAGTTACTAGTGATGTAAAAACGAAAACAAAACATGGTGAAAGTTTGAAATACATCGCAATAATTATAATAATAGGTAAGTATATAATAATAGTATATTTGTAAAGCGCTTAGAGACATTTGTATTAAGCGCTATATAAAAATGAAATATTATTATTATTACTATTAAGTTATCCATTTTATAAAGACTCTATGTGAAAGTCAAATTAGCTATTTCTTTAGTCGATTCTCCATTTCCAATTTACTTTTTCCAGTAACTTTTTCTCGGTGGTTATAGTTGAGATAATTATTTAATATATATGGCATGTTGACCACGAGTGACCTCGAATAAGGAAATCCTGCTCTGCTATAAATTTATAGAAGATGTACTCTCGTCATTCTTTGTGTAGGATCTAGGAGCGAATATGAGAACATGCACCACATAGCCCTTTATCAATATTATCGTGTAAGTCTCACATGACTGTCATCTCAACCTTGAAAACTCATAAGTTTGTTATTCTTTATCCCATTTCAAATTGTTACCAATCTGTTAAAAAAAACATTCGTGGGTTTAATACGAATAAATTGCTATCAAATTGGGATTCCCTTTAATCATTAACGAGACAAAGTAAATGGTAATTGAGGTTTCAAGAAGAAAACAATTTTTTTTCTTCAGAATATGGAAATGCATTTTCCATTTGTTTTGTCACCGTTATGCACTATTATCTGCTTTCGGTTTGACACAGGGTAAAACAAGTTGAATGAACTCAATTCAATTCAATTTGAATTTATTTCCACTCAAACAGTAAAACATAAAATATAACAAAGGTCAACATATAGATCAATATAATGTTTAATTGTCCGTGTCATAAATAACCAAGTCTTAAAAATATTTTTATAGCATCATGAAAACACAACCGCATAAATGATGTTTACATTTTTATAAAGAAGATATTGAAGGGTCGTAATTTTATATAACTTAAATAACCTTAATAATAAAACATGCAATATGAGCAAAACAGATATTAAGCATGTGACATTATATATCGCTGTCACTTTATGAATGGCATGTACTACCATGTAGGTATAATCAATAACCTTTTATAGCAAGACAACCAATATAATATACATTAGCTCAGTAGATTAAATTGTAGATACTGAAACGGCATACAGGGATATTAGACTATTCAGAAGATCATAAAGACCTCGAAGAAATCACCTTGAAGACAGTTTCAATACCCAATTGTATTGCCTATAAGAATCATATTCGCATTATGAATGGCATTGCATAGTTCGCGCATTTCACTAAGTGACGTACAAGGTTAATAAAATTGGCTTAGGTTGGATTTTTTAGAAAGTCTGTACGGTCGTGTTTAATATGTTTCTGAGAAACGGTAGCTTTCAAGTCTCCAAAACATTGTAGTCACCCGTTGACACGATAAGTGATAGACCTACCATTACCGAAATGACATTGGAATATTACAAATACAGATTTTTGATACAACAAGTATATACCCTTTAGGGATTATAGTGAGTATCAGAGGCATTTTTTCCATGACTTAGTTTGAAGAGGTTTTGCACTCTAGATAATCTGGCAAATACTTTTGAATATGTTTATAATGTAATAATGACATGGATACGAAAATTATATTATAAATGCATAAGAAGAAAACCAGGCAGGGAAGACGTTGAATTTCAGCGCTCGATAGCACAAACATGATAGGGATGTGGATGCATAGAGAGTCCAGGCTGACCACGTAGACTAGCTGTGGGTTGATCTGATGGAAGTTTGAATTCAAATTGTTGGAAGAGGTTGGTGAAGAGAAGAAATGACTCCATTCTAGCAAGCTGAATACCCAGACATTCGCGAGGACCTATGAGAAATAATAATAAATTATAATCAAATACAAATAATGCAATTAGGGGACACGTTGCGCACATAGATGGGTGCCATTTTGATTTTTAAAGGGGTTAGGGCATGGGCCTGGGGTGTGTCCCTTTAAATTCACAACAGTTTACTGTCATCCCTAATAACAACGGTATGGCGATGTAACAGTATGAATTTAACAAGCTACTCATAATCTTTTTGAAGTTCATGAATTATGTTATATTAATGTAGCATGTTATATTTTGTCAGGAAGACATATCCTGATTCATAAGAATGATTAAAATAAAATCGAAGGAGTAGTAACAGAAAACGTGAGGCTCATCGTTATTCATTTTAATGAAAGAAACATCGGTATAAAAAATTGTTACCAATAAACCTTGACAATCTTAATAATTACTGTTTCTCACTTTTTTTATATTGTGTTTGGTAGTTGACGATGATTAATGTATTTGAAAGGAAAATGAAAGTGATATGTATATATTCAATGCACATGCGCATCTGTGTGTGTGTGTGTGCGCGTATGTGTATGCGTGTGTGCGTGTGTGCGTGCGTGTTGGTAAACGATTAGGTACAAATATATTACCGGTTCCGAATGGTAACCAAGCTTCGTTCTTCTCGACCTTTAGACCATCAGCAGTGAGAAATCGATCTGGGTTGAATATATAAGGCTTAGACCAGTACTTAGAACCATGATGAACAGCCCACACGTTACTCATGATCATAGCACCTTTGGGAATGAAAAAGCCTTCCAGTGTAACATTAGCTGAATTAAGTTACACGACTTAAAACCGGAAGTACAGGTCTGATACGCATGACTTCCATCAAGGTAGCATCACAGTATGGTAGATCTGGACGGTCAGTGGTGGTGGGTTGTCGACCACGCCCAACAACTCTATCCAACTCATTCTGCACCTGTTGGGTACAAGTTAAATAGGTCCGTTTGTTAGAGCTCGACCAAGAAAATGATTACTTAAAAAATATAGACGATGTACTGTTAACGATGCCATCAACCGAATTCTTGCAAAGGCAGGAAGGACAATGACGGCTCTCGTTATTTGCCTGTTTATTTGTTTTTTATCGTTGGTTCTCAAAAATCTGTGGAAAACACAATACCGATATGCTCCAATGCTCATTTCGACTGAAAGCAAATAGTATAGCTACTTATTCTACCAATTGTCAGACTTTCAAAACGTTCTTGATTAAAATTATCCTCTTTTTTCATTTAATGCAAGGCACTGATTAGTCTTTGGGATAAAATTTGTGTGACTTCTCTGTATACATAAATAATACTAACGTTAACATAGGTGGGCATACATACTAAACCCGAGTACAGATATTTCTGATTATTAGTAGATAAATAATTATTGATTGATCGTTCATAAGGTCGGCGGCCTCTGGTTGTAAGTTAAGTATGACTATATAGATTACATGGCGTAACAGTACCGTTTAGGGGAGATGCAAGGCAAATATGCACATCGACACATCAACCGACTGTGTATGAGTTTATTTAGGGCCCCTAGAGCATGCACCATTTTAGATGTGACATGCTAACATACACATGCACTGAGAAGGACCTGGCAGGGGGCAATAATATGGCTCTTATCATGCTTTTACTAGGCATGGGATGTGGTGTGTGATGATTCCAAATGATGAAGGATCATGCATGATCAAACAAAAATGGCTCTTATGCTTTTACTAGACATGGGATGTGGTGTTTGATGATTCCAAATGATGAAGGATCATGCGTGATCAAACAAAAATGGCTCTTATGCTTTTACTAGACATGGGATGTGGTGTGTGATGACTCCAAATGATGAAGGATCATGCATGATCAAACAAAAATGGCTCTTATGCTTTTACTAGACATGGGATGTGGTGTTTGATGATTCCAAATGATGAAGGATCATGCGTGATCAAACAAAAATGGCTCTTATGCTTTTACTAGACATGGGATGTGGTGTGTGATGACTCCAAATGATGAAGGATCATGCATGATCAAACAAAAATGGCTCTTATGCTTTTACTAGACATGGGATGTGGTGTGTGATGATTCCAAATGATGAAGGATCATGCGTGATCAAACAAAAATGGCTCTTATGCTTTTACTAGACATGGGATGTGGTGTGTGATGACTCCAAATGATGAAGGATCATGCATGATCAAACAAAAATGGCTCTTATGCTTTTACTAGACATGGGATGTGGTGTGTGATGATTCCAAATGATGAAGGATCATGCATGATCAAACAAAAATGGCTCTTATGCTTTTACTAGACATGGGATGTGGTGTTTGATGACTCCAAATGATGAAGGATCATGCGTGATCAAACAAAATATGGCTCTTATGCTTTTACTAGACATGGGATGTGGTGTTTGATGACTCCAAATGATGAAGGATCATGCATGATCAAACAAAATATGGCTCTTATGCTTTTACTAGACATGGGATGTGGTGTTTGATGATTCCAAATGATGAAGGATCATGCATGATCAAACAAAATATGGCTCTTATGCTTTTACTAGACATGGGATGTGGTGTTTGATGATTCCAAATGATGAAGGATCATGCATGATCAAACAAAATATGGCTCTTATGCTTTTACTAGACATGGGATGTGGTGTTTGATGATTCCAAATGTTGAAGGATCATGCATGATCAAACAAAATATGGCTCTTATGCTTTTACTAGACATGGGATGTGGTGTTTGATGATTCCAAATGATGAAGGATCATGCATGATCAAACAAAAATGGCTCTTATGCTTTTACTAGATATGGGATGTGGTGTATGATGATTCCAAATGATGAAGGATCATGCATGATCAAACAAAATATGGCTCTTATGCTTTTACTAGACATGGGATGTGGTGTTTGATGATTCCAAATGATGAAGGATCATGCATGATCAAACAAAATATGGCTCTTATGCTTTTACTAGACATGGGATGTGGTGTTTGATGATTCCAAATGATGAAGGATCATGCATGATCAAACAAAATATGGCTCTTATGCTTTTACTAGACATGGGATGTGGTGTTTGATGATTCCAAATGATGAAGGATCATGCATGATCAAACAAAATATGGCTCTTATGCTTTTACTAGACATGGGATGTGGTGTTTGATGATTCCAAATGTTGAAGGATCATGCATGATCAAACAAAATATGGCTCTTATGCTTTTACTAGACATGGGATGTGGTGTTTGATGATTCCAAATGATGAAGGATCATGCATGATCAAACAAAAATGGCTCTTATGCTTTTACTAGATATGGGATGTGGTGTATGATGACTCCAAATGATGAAGGATCATGCATGATCAAACAAAATATGGCTCTTATGCTTTTACTAGACATGGGATGTGGTGTTTGATGATTCCAAATGATGAAGGATCATGCATGATCAAACAAAATATGGCTCTTATGCTTTTACTAGACATGGGATGTGGTGTTTGATGATTCCAAATGTTGAAGGATCATGCATGATCAAACAAAATATGGCTCTTATGCTTTTACTAGACATGGGATGTGGTGTTTGATGATTCCAAATGATGAAGGATCATGCATGATCAAACAAAAATGGCTCTTATGCTTTTACTAGATATGGGATGTGGTGTATGATGACTCCAAATGATGAAGGATCATGCATGATCAAACAAAATATGGCTCTTATGCTTTTACTAGACATGGGATGTGGTGTATGATGACTCCAAATGATGAAGGATCATGCATGATCAAACAAAATATGGCTCTTATGCTTTTACTAGACATGGGATGTGGTGTTTGATGATTCCAAATGATGAAGGATCATGCATGATCAAACAAAAATGGCTCTTATGCTTTTACTAGACATGGGATGTGGTGTATGATGATTCCAAATGATGAAGGATCATGCATGATCAAACAAAAATGGCTCTTATGCTTTTACTAGACATGGGATGTGGTGTTTGATGATTCCAAATGATGAAGGATCATGCATGATCAAACAAAAATGGCTCTTATGCTTTTACTAGACATGGGATGTGGTGTTTGATGATTCCAAATGATGAAGGATCATGCATGATCAAACAAAAATGGCTCTTATGCTTTTACTAGACATGGGATGTGGTGTTTGATGATTCCAAATGATGAAGGATCATGCATGATCAAACAAAAATGGCTCTTATGCTTTTACTAGATATGGGATGTGGTGTATGATGACTCCAAATGATGAAGGATCATGCATGATCAAACAAAATATGGCTCTTATGCTTTTACTAGACATGGGATGTGGTGTTTGATGATTCCAAATGATGAAGGATCATGCATGATCAAACAAAAATGGCTCTTATGCTTTTACTAGACATGGGATGTGGTGTATGATGATTCCAAATGATGAAGGATCATGCATGATCAAACAAAAATGGCTCTTATGCTTTTACTAGACATGGGATGTGGTGTATGATGACTCCAAATGATGAAGGATCATGCGTGATCAAACAAAATATGGCTCTTATGCTTTTACTAGACATGGGATGTGGTGTGTGATGACTCCAAATGATGAAGGATCATGCATGATCAAACAAAATATGGCTCTTATGCTTTTACTAGATATGGGATGTGGTGTATGATGACTCCAAATGATGAAGGATCATGCATGATCAAACAAAATATGGTTCTTATGCTTTTACTAGACATGGGATGTGGTGTGTGATGACTCCAAATGATGAAGGATCATGCATGATCAAACAAAATATGGCTCTTATGCTTTTACTAGATATGGGATGTGGTGTATGATGACTCCAAATGATGAAGGATCATGCATGATCAAACAAAATATGGTTCTTATGCTTTTACTAGACATGGGATGTGGTGTGTGATGACTCAGGGATCCTGCATGATCAAAACAAATATTTCCCAACCTTATTCTGTACATCTGGATGGACAGCTAAGTAGAGTATGGCCCATGAAGTGACCAGTGTTGTTGTCTCTGTGCCAGCGGCAAACAAGTCAAGCACAATCCTCCAAAATTCTTCCAGCGTGTATTCCTTGGAGATATCATCTGCTAAGAACGCGTCGACATAGTCCCGGATGTTATCTTTCTGAAATGTGTCTCGATGCATGTAGAGCTGACACATAATAAAATCTCGAGCTTTGAATGTGGCGTCACGGTAGTGTTTGTACCACGGAGTATGAATAAGTGATTCAAAGACCACAACAGGATCTGTTATAGAGATGCCAGCGAAGATTGCCACCATTGCTTGTAGAACCTCAATGTATTGGAGATCGTCGTATTCGTATCGCCTACCAAAGACAAGTTGAGCTACGACGTTAGCCGTTGCTTTATTCAAAGTAGGCGACAGGTCTGATGGTGCACCTCGAAGATTCTTGATTTCATCTGCCAGATAACGAGCTTCCAGGTTGATCTGAGGTACTAGGCTCTTCTTACCAAAGCCGAAGGAACGGAGTGCATGCAGAGAGAATTTCCGATGGTCTTTCCAAGGTTTGCCGCTACTCCAGACGATAGAAGCTGTACGGAAAATAGTAATTCAGGTTTTATTATAGCGCTTAAGCACCTTAATATGAGATTCAGTCTTCACCACTCCCCAGGAAGTACTTTAGCCAGGCCCCATTATTCATACGCTTGCGATGCTGAGCAAACTACGATAAATACGCTTCCCCACCGATATTAAGTCCCGCAATAAAATATCAACCGCAAAAATATTTAAAAGATAATGGCATATGAATGGTATCGCAGCTTTTTTCTTCCGTAAAAAAGAAGCTTACCATTCTTGTTAGTATCTCGAACTCCCCATCTAATATGTCCTGGTACAAAGCGGTTTTGAAAGAATTCTGATGACTTCACAAAGGCTTGTTTGATAGTTGCTATGTCATTCAATACAACAACAAGAAACGGGCCTCTTCGTAAGCTGAAAATTGGACCATACTTTTTAGCCATATCCATGTAGGCTTCATGTAATGGACCTGATCTAAATCTGTACCCGATGACTGGCCAGGACCATGGTCCGGGTGGAAGGTTCCTTGGACGTCTAACGAACCAGACAAAGATGAGAAACATCAAAGCTCCCAGTAATACAGAGGTAGCCGATACTGATAGCCCAAACATTCTGCCTTTAGAACGAAACCAAAATTCAAATTTTGTGAGCAACGTTTGATAAGATGTTTTAAATCACGCATTGACCCCAATAATACAACGAAACTCTTTCAAATCAGTTTGTCATTGCATTTTGTAAAAAATTCCGACTGAATGCACTAAATGCTCCAAGAGAAAAAACATATAACTTGAAAGATAATCTGTACTGATCGATGAACAAGATGTCCTCGATATCACATGATGATCAAAGGTCTTATAAATTATGATGAGAACAAGTTACTGTTTGCGATAGATATGAGTGCACAGGATATGTTATTACAACGTAAACGTGTTGTGAAACTGCATGGGTGTCGATCCCGGGGGATGGGGGGGGGGGATATATCCCCCAATATTTCAGGTGGGGGATAGCCTGTACAATCATCCCCCCCAATAATTCACCATTACAACAAAAAATGAAGAGAAAAATTAATGATGAGAGCCCGATGAAAGTAGTTAATGGTTATTATTCGCAAGGTGACCATCAATATACACATTTTGCTATCTCATTTTCATAATACATACATATATAAATAGAAAACGAAGTAAATGAGACAACCGTATATGAGACAAGAATAAATTAAATTCTCGCTCATACGGTTTCATCAGGAATTGATGAATTTATTCAATTTATTCAATCAACATCATCATAGAAATGCAGTGCGCCAAATGCAAAGCCGCAGCGTTAAAAAAGCAACGAGATAAATGTTACGCGCGAAGCGCAAAAGTGCAAAAAAGAAGTAGAGAGTGGGAGAGAGAGATAATAGGAGACAGAGAGGATACAGGCGCGTAGCCAGGGGGCGAGGGGTGGTCACCCCCCCCCAAAAAAAAAGAGAGAGAGAAAGAAGAAAGTAAGAGGACGTAGTCGAGAACGGTACAACGAATCGTCTTCTTTCTTTAATAATTTAATAAAACGTCAAAAGGATTTAGACAAGGATTAAGAGACGAGAACGATACAACGAATCGTCTTCTTTCTCTAATAATTTAATGAAACGTCAAAGCTTCCACGCTTCGCGCAGGAGGGGGGGGGGAAAACTGAATTCAGACAAGGATTAAGAGTCGACAGTGGTACGACGAATCATCTTCTTTCTTTAATGATTTAATGAGACTTCAGAGCTTTCGCGCTACGAGCGGAGGCAAGCGCGTAGCCAGGGGGGGGGGCGGTCGCCCCCCCCAAAAAAAAAAAGAAGAAAGGAAGAGGACGTAGGAAGAAAAAGGATTAAGAGTCGAGAACGGTACAACGAATCGCCTTCTTTCTCTAATAATTTATAAAACATCAAAGCTTTCGCGCTTCGCGCATGGGCGGGGAAACTGAATTCAGAGTCGAGAACGGTAAAACGAATCTTCTTTCTCTAATAATTTAATGAAACTTTAAAGCTTCCGCGCTTCGCGGGGGGAACTGAATTCAGACAAGGATTAAGAGTCGATCGAGAATGGTACAACGAATCGTCTTCTTTCTTTAATAATCTAATGAAACGTCAGAGCGCGCGGAGGAAGGGGAACTTGATTTAAACAAGGATTTAGAGTCGAGAACGGCCCATCGAATCGCCTTCTTTCTCTAATAATTTAATGAAACGTCAAAGCTTCCGCCCTCCCTGCACCCACCCCCTAGGGAGCGCGCTTCGCGTGCTCACTACCGACCCCTTAAATAAAATCCTGGCTACGCGCTTGAGAGGATAATAACCCAGGTAGCATGGGTCCCATATTCTCTGAAATGTTATCTGTATTGAGGGTGACTTGAAAAAGTTAATAACTTGGAAGGGAGGGGTGCAACCTGCACACGCTTCTACCTCATGGTTGCTCTGATCCATTGCCGAAAATATTTTGGCACCTATCATCCCCCCAACCACGGATACAAATCGACACCCCTGTGTGAAAGTATTTGTTCACTTTTGCACATGTATGTTAAATTCAACTCCTTATTCAATAAGACCAACTTATGCTCGAATGATGTGCGAACCTGGAATGTATAGTTAAACCAAGGAGTTACTTGGTTTAACAGAAGGATAGTGTCATTGGAACTTCTTTCGCGACAAGCACGAGAAATAAATCAAAGTTCATACAGATCTTGCTTACCTACCGATCAATAAAAATAGAAGTAAATAAAGCCACTCACTTGTAATCTACATGTAATGTAGGCCAATGTATTTAAGAGTCAGAAAGTGCAGTGTACTAAAACGTATAGTTAAAGAGGGAACGAAACAAATAATTTCTCAGAAAAGTTTAGACGATAGAGGTCGATCTGAATAGTATGAATTAAGATGTTCTAATTTTCTACATTGCAATGTTTATCCCTACATGTCTCCAAACCTTTTGCATGTAAATTGATTGCCAATGCATCTTAAATTTAGTTGTTCTGTGCTAATTTTGTTTAATTATTTCACCTAAATTTCTCCCTTTTCTTCCATTTCATGCTACGTCTCGTCTATCCTTTTGATTCCCTGTCTTTGTTTACATTTCCTTTTTACTTTTTGTGTGCAATGTTATTCCTACTTGTTTATTACTGTGCATATTACTGTATTTTATCTAACTAATTTCCAATGTATTGTATTTTAATGTAATATTCAATCTTTTGTAAATTCAATTTGTTTCAGCATTTTGCTGCCATGTTGAATGTATGTTTTTAAAGCAGTAAACCAGTTGCATTCAACAATTCAGTGTTCTTTAAAGAAACATACATAAAGTAACAACTCAATAGATTCACATATTTAGCACAGTTCAGTCAGAAACAGGGTGTTTTATATGCTTTGTAAAATTAAATTGTGGATCTTTTTTCTCAATCGATATAGACATAATAGTGTAAAGCAATAAGCTAAAGTTTGCATATTATACAGTTGACCACCACTTTAAAAAAAAAAACTCCGGATGCCTCTTGTTATGCTTGTTCATCACTCATCATTTTGATGAGAATAAATTATATTTTGCCTACTAGGCTCCTGTTTCCTCCTTTTTCAAACGTTGTTTTAAAGACACACAAAACAAACGTACACACACGCGCGCACGCACACACACACTCACATATATCACACACACTTTTTTTTTTTTTAATTTTTTTTTTTTTAACAATTTTGTTTTATTTCTCCAGATGTGTAATACAAACCATGACATACAATTGAATAAAATAAACGTGTTCAATATTGATGCTTTTACATAAACATAATTAAACACAAACTTATTTGCAGTATAATATAACTTAGCAACAAAGTAAACGTATAAGTACCTAAACATAATATGTCAATTGTAAATGTTATTTACTTATATATTACAAAAAAAAACAAATCTGGAGATAATTTTACTGAAACAATCCTGCCCCCTCCCTGCCCCCTCCATCACACAGACATACTCACCCTCTATCACACAAACATACTCACCCACTCACACACATACTCACCCACCCACCCACCCACCCCCCCCCCCACACACACACACAGTACTCACTCAGTGGATGTCTGCCAACATTCTCAACTTAAGAAAAATATACCAAATAAGTTATCCAGGCCGCAAAATCGAGTTACGCTTTTAACAAGCTCACGGTGGAGAAGAAAGCAAATCTTAATTAATCTTAAGCTGCTCCCACTTTAAGAAATGTGATCCTAGCTTTCCCATTTTAATTGCTATTTTCTTTTCCTCATCCCTATACTTAAAAATGCTTTTTTTCATCTTTTCTAAAGTTAGTACTCGCCCCCCCGATCTTGACATAAATGTAACATACTTCACCATGAAAATGATAGTATTACACATTTTTATTCTATATGAACTACCTACCAACCCAACAAATATATCTCGCCATTCTAAATCTTTAATTTCATCTAACTCAAAAAGTTGTATTAAAGCCTGCCATAACCTTTGAACGCTCCCACAAGATAAAAATAAATGTTTGTATCTTTCTATTTCCTGCTTACAAAACGAACATAAATTATCACCAACAAAACCAAATCTATGAAGATGCTCATTAGTGTATATGGCTCCATGCAATAATTTAAATTTAAATTCACGTTGTTTTCTAATGAGTATAGTAATTCTTGGTCTAACAAATATTTCTTTTAATTCTTTATCTATAAAATCATAATCATTTTGCCCATCCCTTACCTGCAAATCATACGTTCGTTGCAGTACTTTGATGAAATAATCATAGATTGTTCTTGAACCCACATCCACAAACTGTATTTTTTTACTAGAAATATGGAAATAAGTATTAAAGCTTATCACACACGCACACACGAACACACGCGCGCACACACACACACACACACACACACGCACTCATGCACACGCACACACAAGAGCAATCAATCACACGAGGTGAGGACTAGACAATAAGCTTTACAATGCACAACTTTATACTGCTCACGTCAAAATGAGAATCACATTATTGCCAAAATGACTAATATAGAAATATCAATTTTAGTAGTATTCCGAGATAATGACTCCGTGTACATTTTGAAGGGTTACATCTCCTGCACTAAATGGATTGCTAAACTTTACTCGCTTGCAGGAGCGTGTCCTCCGAACGTCTCAGTCCAATAAATAACTCATTTTCTCGATTAGATATTATTGGTGATGTGGTCGCCAATTCTGTCGAATTACGGAAGAGACAAGAGAGCACTTCGGTAGAAAGCCGTCTGAGGCACGTTTATTAACAGGTCTACGTTATTTCCACTACCTCGTTCAAACCTTCATACATGATTTCTGACAATGCATCTTAGTTGCTCTAGAACAAGCCCCAGTCACACTGATCGAGGCAATCTCTTTCAGCGAACCAAAACGATCTGAGTATTCGGATCTGGTTTATTGTTAAGCTATTCCAAAACGATCTGGTACATTGTTAACTTATATTTCTTACCCTATGTCAATAGTGCATGAATCGGAGTATTTGGGCATTTTGTAGGGGGGAAATATCATATTCATGATTTTATGAATGGTTTTAAATGTTTCGTTTGGGGTGATGAATTTCCTTGTGTATCGTCTGAATTGGAGGGGGCGCCTTGGCAATTATAGGGTGTTCATGAACATCACCATGCCCCTGGGAATCAAGACGAATGACAAATAAATGTGGTTCTCGAAAATTATCTTGCCGGGAGGCGAGAAAGAGATGACAAATCGTTTTGGTTCATTTAAATAATGGCGTCACAGTGTGACTGGACATTACCATACATCGATCTTCATTATTAAAGGTACTATGTCCTATTTGCAGCCAACATCAAATTCTGTAGAACTTTGCAGGAATTATGAATATGTCAAGTAGGCTGTCCTATCTGTTAAATTTAAACGAGTGAAGTTATAAATTATAATTAAATTTCAAATGCCGGTGGAATTTAATCTTTTCATTTTGGTTGGCCTGCAAATGGGACATAGCCTATATAGCACCTTTAAAGGTAAGACATACCTGACATATTCATAATTCCTGCTAAATTCTACATAATTTGATGTTGGCTGCAAAAGGGATACACTACATATAAAACATGGTGTTTGGTAAATCATTTCTGTGAGTGTAGTCAGCTTAAATTCAATCCTCACCTAGACGTGGTAACGACAAGCTGGAGGCCTAGCATAATGTACTACGACAGCTAAGATAATATTGTTTACGTGAATTAGCCGGTTTAGAATCATCATCAGGCAGATTCATATAAGTTGAAAAAATGTATAGTCCAGAAATTAATGGAATGACTATTTGAAGCCTTGAATTGATGCTTTAACTATTTGCATGGTGATTTTGTTTTGGCAAAGCGTGCATGAGCAAATATTTCTAACCAGAATCATGAATTAAGTCACCGGCCATCCAGAACTTGCTCAGGAGTGGAATTGAACAATCACTTTCATTTGTTTAAAAAGGTTGCCTTCTGGATGAGTGGGTGTGAAGATGCCGAACAATAAATTACCTTCTGTGAGATAAATCCCCTAGAATCACTGCCAATATATTTGCCATTGCGATTGCAATTTCGCCCGTAAACATTTGATGTATTCTTCTGTTTTCCGTTCTACAAACTCTCCTACCACATGCATTATAAAACATAGGCCTATTGCTTTGTCTCCGTTCCTCTTATCATAAATAATTTGTAATTCCATGAATCGAAACTATATACATTACATTGATGAGGTTAATTCTTGTTAACATCAGATTGACAATACTCCGGCCTCATGCCTCATTCCAGTAAATTGGTTTTGCATACATTGAGAGTATTGTTGTAGATCCAAGTGGATTTATATAGTATTATAGAGAGGTGAATACTCTCACCGTCAGAGAACAAGATCAGAATGAGGGTTTAAGTGTGTCGGTGTATTAGGCCTATAAACAAAATGTTGTATTGCCCTTTAGGTGCCAAAGTATGGGTCGGTCGGTCGGAAATCTTTTTCTTTTTTTAAAACTTTTTTTTTCTTCTTCTTCCTCTTTGGGCTGATATTTCTCAGTTTTGACATGCTTTAATATCTTTTTTCTCTAAAAAAACGGTAATTTAAAAAAAAAAAATTAAACAAAATTAAAAAAAACGTCCTTTTCCTTATACAAGATATGATCGCACATATTGCTATCAGTGTAATTTTTGCTTTAGTCCTTGTCACATTGTTAAGCGCAGTCGAGTATCATCGGTGTATCTCAGATTTTTTTTGGATTTTTGTTGTTGATGAAATTTCAGTGTGAAAAGATGTAGAGAGTCTAGCTTTTTCTTTTTTCATGAAAGCTTTTTTTCTTTAAAACTTATTTTTACGCTTTACTTACGCAACAATATTTTTCTATCATTACATTAAAAACAAATCAAATAATGATATTCGGGTACTGATTAAGCATTTCGATTGTTTTAGCATATTATTAGGCTCATACTCTAATACTAGGTACAGCGCACCAAAAATAAGTACAACAAACACATGTTATTTGATGATTGAAAATGATCAAGCTTTATGAAAGCTTCGAAAAACAAAAAACAGAATTGAAATCGGTCAACGCGTTGTGATTTTATACTATTTTTTTGAAATCGCAAAATTACCGAAAAACCTGCCAAAAATGGTCATAATGGCCAAAATGGCAAAATTCGACAAAGTTGACAACTTAATTCATCACTTTCTCGGACACAAATAATAAATTAAATTATCAGACACTAAAACATCGTCTTTGTGGTAAAAAATACAAAAAGAAAATTCATATATTATCTATTACCGTTTTGAAAACATCAGCCAACAAAATAAGTAATTTTTGCCATTTTTGCGAACCTGCATATATGAAAAATTTGTGAAAATACTTAAGTCTGCCTATTTAATATGCGCATGTGTAATCAAATCAAAACCGAACATGATACATCAGTGAAACCGTATATCAGACAGGTATGGAAATATATTTTATTTGAAGAAAAAATTAAAATCATGAATATTCATCAAATATGCAAATTAGGCTATTTCAGCTTATTATATATATATATATATATAGGAAAGTCATACTGTTCATTTTGTTGGCATTTTTTAAATCATATATTTATAGATCATTATTTAAACGATATTAACATTAAATTCCAAATATTTTTGCAAAGCCAATAAAATATGGCGATGGAAATTACTTGGATCACCGTCACAGCTATTTCCTCATATGTGTCACAAATTATTCAGAAAAACCGATCAAATGATAAAAATTTGCAGACTTTCAGCTACATCACAGTATATTTTTCTTTAAAAAAAATGTCAGATTTGAGGATTTATGACGATTTTCCGAGAAGCCATTCAACAGGCCATAACAATTCACAGGGACTAAATTTCAGAGTGAAAAACAAAGTTTGGTGACCCCAGTACAGTTGTGGCTACTTTGAGTGTAAACAACAAATTGATTCAATGAGTGAAACACATGAGGATATTGCATTTTTTGTAGGGGAGTTTTATACATTGAGGTGCATTTTCACCACGCAGAATAGCAGCTCGAGTCAATAGGCGATCAGCGGGCCACGTCATACAATGGCTGACAAGACAATATTCTAATTAAATCATTTAACATATTTCCCACATGCCTATAACAATGAAACTACACAGAATTGTAATTAAAGGTATGCTTGAAATATATGTGAAATAAAAATTTAAAAATATTGTTAAGTTTTTTAAAAATAAATTTACGAAAATTGCTATTTCTACCAACTGACTGCTATTGTGTGTGTGTATGTGCATGGGGCAGACTGTGTGCACAGGCAGTTTGATCACCCTACTAGTACTTGCTTGAAACTGATGAATAGAGGTTTACAGCTTGTATGCAAACCAATATCGAAGATGAACCGATCTCTCTCCATGTCTATTACTCTGACACTGACTTCTAATGAGTAATGTTAAGCCTTATCCAAATAGATCTGGCTTTTGCTCTTGTTTATTTTGGAACATAGTAGGGTTTGTAGTGATATGATCCGTTTTTGATGTTTTTTTGCCACAGAAGTAATTACAATTAAGTTTATTCATTACCATAAAAAAATCACATTACAAGAACACACACATTTGCAAAAGGTACTGTAAATAACATGCAGAATATTTCATTAGAATATACATAGTACATTAAAATATTAAACAATAATGGAAAAGGGGAAGTTATAAAAACCCAAAGAAATGAGTTTGCCGAGATATCTCCCAAAAAATATATAAACAAAATGTGATGAACATAATAATGATTTGAAATTACATAAACTTTTTTTGCCCCAGAGAAAACTCGTATAACAACAGAATCAAACAAAAACCATACATGCCCTACGATACACACATACACACTATATATAAAGTGGAAAAGTATTCTACTCAAAATCGCAGCTGCTTTCCACTTCGTTTAAATCCATTGTAATTCATTAATGATGTTATGTTATTTGGTAAAGTATTCCATATTGTTGCTGCTTTATGTCTGAAAGAAAATATTGAATAAGATTTTTCAAAAACCCATATATGATAATTATTTTTATTCCTCGTATTATAATTAAATGAGTTTAAAAGTCATAAATGAAAACATTAAATAGAAATCGAACAAATAACTTTTACATGGGGCAGCATGAAAATCTATGCGGGATTTCACTATAAATCATAATGATAGATAAATTCCCAATATTACATATAGTCACATGTTAGGGTATATGTATATAAGGTAATGATGATGGAACTATTAAAACATTGGATCGTTGTTCGTCAAACAAATCATGACAGGCCATTACATCAGATTAGTCCAAATATTACACAGTCGCAATCTATCAATTTGCTATTAACAAAATCAAAATATTACGATACACATTTTTAAAAACTCTTGGAAACAAATATAAACAGGCCGATTGCTGGTTTGAAGGTGATATTGACAGTTGGCGATCTCTTTTACATGTCTAGTCCCAGCTTGTGATATAAAGCTATCTAACAAGTTGACTCAACAGTACGTGCATTGCGTCTGTATTGTAATGATAAACTGCGTGTCCTAGATAACATCCATGACTTTGGTTTGTGATGAATAATATTCTTAAACGATTGGCGGAACTCAGGATTAGAAATAGAATACACAATTGGGTTCATACATGAGTTGAGATATCCTAGCCATGTTAATATTTCATCTGTCTTCGAGGAGAAAGAGACACACTTCTGGAAGGAACATACAAGAAGACTGAGGAAAAATGGCGTCCAGCAAATCAAGAAAAGGCCAATGATTGTACCAAGCATGAGAGCAGCTTTGTTGTGAGATTGATGCTGACTGTTGACCCGGAAGTCTGTTTGTGATCTTGCGTTGTTCTCATCATCCGATTTGCCTTGTGTTAGACGACCCTGACGTAAGTTTTTAGAGCGCGTTTGAATGAGATGAAATATTCGCGCGTAAACGAAAATAAGAATCGAACTCGGGATTAAAAAATCAACAATTACAGTAATGGTTGCATATGTCTTGTTGAAAGCATGGTCGCAGAAAATAAATCCTGAAAGATGCCATCCCGTAAAATTCCCTTCCTCGTCATCATTTAATATTGTAGCGTTCAGAGTGTCATCTGACGCTCGTTCTACTTTGAATTTACCTAAAAATATCGGCACGAATGCGCACAGAGCCTTGAACAACCATACTATGATACTTATCACCAGAGCAAGTTTGTTTGTCATCCATCGTTTGTATTTAAATGGTTCCTTGATATGGAAGTAACGGTCAAGACTAATCACACATAGATGGATCACAGATGTCGAACAAAGCATGACATCAAAGGATATCCAGGTCTTGCAGAATATAGGACTGAAGATGTTCCGATGGACAATGTTAGTGGACAACGAGAAGGGCATGACAAGAACGGCTACCAATAGGTCAGCTACAGCCAATGATGCTATGAACACATTACTTGGTTTGCGTAATATAGCATCCAATCCAACAGATAAACATACTAATAGATTCCCGGCAATGGATGCGATGATGATGAATATCAATACGACGTCGATGACTACCACTACATAATGTATACTCTCAGGATTTCCTTCTGAGTTCATATCAAGGTTAGATGATAGATCCATTATAAGTTTGGATGCTTGATATAATAAAGGCCAGCACGGACCAAATATATTGTTTTCCTAGAATACCGGTTTAATGGAAATAGAGACAATAACGGGTAGAGCGTAACTTCCCTTTTCTGCCAGCTATCCGTTTGGGCGTTGGCGAATAGATCTTGCTTCGTTTTGTCCAACAAAATCAAATCTGAGAGATGATACGACTAATGCAGTCATAAAGTCATCAATCAGAGAATATTAAAGCGTGTTGTAATTACACCTGATCTGATAAGATGTATGCACATCACATGCCTTTCTAAATGAGCAAACCTTAAATGTATGCACGGTGATCAAAATGTAGGTATACTCCAATCCAGGGACTCCAATCTCCTATCTGTGCTATCAATTTATTTTGTTATGCGAAACGCTTTCGCTATACATGTATTCACACCACTCGATCGCTAGTCGGCGAAGTCCGCGTACTGTTTTTAGTTACAGATGTGATTACTACACTGTGGAGTGCTTTGAGGTGCCTCAAATTATAATCGTTTTGATTACCTCGAATATGATTCACAAAATGTTCTTGAGTGCTATATCATGAAAAAAAGATTTTTTTTTTTTTAAAGACGGTAGGATAATATTGATATGATAATGATTCGGCGCTTTTCAGAGCCTGGAAGGTCACATTCAACTATAAAACAATGACGTAGCTATAAATAGGCAGTGAAGGGCAAGCGCCCCGTCAATATTGAAAGACTTCTAAATACGACATCGAAGAGAAAACATATAAAAGCAAGAGAAAACAAACGAAAGAAACGTGTAAATGAGATAATACCACCTCTTAACCATCCTTCATTGCCTAGATCCATGCTACTATTGCTACGTTACTGATGCTAGGTGGGGATTGCTGTCACATTGCGACAAATCACCCATTATTTTATACAGAAATATTACATCCTTGTCATTTCAAGATCACAAAATAAGGTTAATGATGCCTTAAAGGTACTATGTCCCATTTGCGGGCCAAAAAAAAAAGAAGAGGAAAACGTTAAAAACCACCGGCATTCGAAAGATAATAGTAATTTAGAACTTCCTTCAAAACGAAAGAGCTTGCACATGTCTATTTGTGGGAAAATAACGACCGTTAGTTGTCGAATCGACTTTAGTGATTGCAATCCATTTAGATTAACAACATTATTACATATTGCTCATGTATGCTAATTAGATTATTATGCTAATTAGGCTAATTATACTACATCTACATGGAATATTTTCTCATGAATTAATGATTAGTCTTTCAAAAGTGATTTACAATGTTGCATTGCACCATTTTTAGGCTTTATAGATAAACAATGACAATGAAGTCCATATATTGTACGCATACTTATTAGCTCATTATGCTCATTGTGCTATTTAAGACAATTGCATTACTTGGAATAAAAAACTGGTGTCATAAATTAATTCCTTGTCATAGAAAACCCTTGAAAAATCGTATTAACCATGTTTTCAGGCTTCCTGGATTGGGATTAGCAACATTATTACATATTGCACATTTGCCAATTAGATGATTATGCTAATATGGCTATTAAAAAAGTTGCCCAAGGTTGCCAAGCTGGCAACCAAGCTGAATTTTCTTCAATACCCATCTAGAATAAAAATCAACAAAAAAACGTTGTACTTATCAACTTTTCCAGGTCATGTACATGGTTTATGGTACCGTCTACTGGACTAATACATTTAGTTGATAAACGACTCCGCATAGTACGTTATGCAATAAAGAAAATGGCGATGCCCATGTCTTGCTGAGTAACCGTACTTTATTCTTACGTTGCCTTTCTCATCCACTGTGGTGGGAAATCTTGTGGTTTGATGCTTTTGGTGGGCAAAAATGCAATAAATCTCTCAGAACAACTGAAGTTATTCTTTGGGGTTAGTTCTCCTTTAACACATAGTATTACTATTCCATGCACTGCGATCTGATTTGGCAATATTTTGCAATATTTAATTTGTATAACATTTAACATAATTTGCTGATCATATGTGAATATTGGTCCTTACGCCCAGGCTTATGGAGAGGGAGAAAAACTCCGCTCGGGGGCAAACATCAGGCACTCTTCTTTCTAAGCTTTGCAAATTCGGTAGAGAAATTAGTTGAACCATTTAAATTACTTGACTGATCGCGTGCAACTCACTACAGATCGAAATGGTATCCTCCTTCGATACCAATAATTCAGTTGACATCAGAAGATGTTGTGTTCATTTGCCGATTGAAAATTGGATCAAAGTTCATTGATCATATTTACAACATCTTGACAAATGCAAGTGGTTCACTTTCAACAATGAAGAGGTATTAAAAAAGACACCCTCATAGATTTAAAAAAAAAGAAAAGAAAAGTAGTTGACAATCTTAAAGTAGATATCCATTGATTTTAAAAAATAACTTTATTTTAATTATTGCAAAGTTAAGATTTTGATTCGACAAGGTTATCAAAATTCAATGCTTGGAAACATTTGAAGTAATGATTATTATAAATAACAAAACGCTTAAATACGGCCCCGGCATAGCACCTGAAGAGCCCTCCGAACGCTGCTGAGATGTGTGAGATCACAGGATGGTCATGATTTGCACAAGCAGACGATTTCCCATGACATCTCACACATTTTCAGTGCCTGTTTTTTTTTCATCTTCTCTTGAGTTCTTTTTTCTTACTTCACTACCGTCAGGCTAAATGTCTAATCTATTGCCTCGCTCGAAACCCCGCGCATGTTTTTATTTTGATGAAAAATGCAGCGATACAAAAATAAAGGAATCTGTCGCTTGTAAACAAAATAAGACGCCATTGTATATTCAGCTGCACACACCGTGGTATGTTCGGCGTTTCAAGAGGGAACAAATACCAGTTCCTAGTGATACATTAGTTGACATATTTGTGATTTTCTTTGAATTTCCACTTTAAGTAATTGAAATAACCCCCTTCTCTTTTTTTTCACAAATAGGTAAGCGCTTTGTCTTTGAAGAAAAGAAAAATATCGTAGGTCTACAAATGTCGATAAAATTTGAGGGCCCTGCTGCCCAGGGGCGGATCCAGCCGGCGGCGAGGGAGGGCCCAATTCGTGAGCAAATATTTAGCGGGGCATAAGCGGGGGGGGGGGGGGGGGGGGGGAGTGAGCACTATTTTGGTTTTACTCAACACCCCCCCCCCCGCCCTTGAGCAAAAAAAAGGGTAAATTGTGGTTACCATCTTTTTTTTCTCAATTTTTTTTGCCAGGGGTGATGGCTCCCCGTGCCCCCACCCTGGATCCGCCACTGCTGCTGCCACCGTGAGTCATTATTGATTGTCATCATCATCATTATCATCTCCTCTATCATCATCATCATCATCATCATCATCATCATCATCATCATTATCATCTGCTCATTCATCATCAATTATCATCACCATCTCCTCCTCCTCCTCCTTCTCCTCCTCATCATCTTCCTTTATTTCGTCATCATTAATCATCATTATCATCATCTCCAGGCCTCCTTCTCCTCATCATCATGATTGCTAAAATTGATCAATTTACGGTCATTTTAAAGCTTTTACTTCGGCTGGTACTTACTATGAAAAAGAAAAACATTAACAAAGCAAAAACAGAAGCAAAAAGAGATGGTTGTTAAGCATTTCTAAAATACAAAGTAGAATTATTTCTAAAATACCGAGTAGAATAATAATAATAATAATAATAATAATAATGATAATACTAATATATAACCTATTACCTTTAAACAAAATCTTATATGCCACTGCCACTGGACGAGCGGGATTGTCAGGATGGTGCCGAATAATATAGGACAGGATTTGGTAACCTGACATCCTATAAAATAATAATATTTAAAGAAAAACAAATACAGGGACAGCAATAAAAAAACTACTAAAAGAGAGAGGTCAATTAATGTTTCTTAATTAAAGATAATACTAAAAAACGAAAAAGATTAGTTGATGATATATTGATAATAGTCAAATTATCATGATTGCCATATAACGTTGAATACAACAACAAGATGCTGAATGACTTAACACAAAGGTAATCAATCGTCCGTTGACTCAAGCAAATTGTAATTATCTGAATTTAATTGAGATACACAAGTATGATTGAGGACACATTTATTTCTATGAACGTGATATTTCTTGTAATAATGTATTTTCCTGAATATTACTGTAACGCTAGTGGAAACCAAATTTCTATGTAACTTGTTTACAAAGACCAACTAAAATTTCTTGTATCTTGTATCTTGTAATCTGGTCCGCCCGCACTCGTCGTAACATATAATACATAACTCATGCACCTGTACTTTTTCACTCCACATCTCTCATAATTTGAACTCATCTTCAAGGCGCGTAAGCAGGGGGGGGGGGGGGGGGGGGGTATGGAGGAAAATGAGAGGGCCCAAAAGAAGAAAAGAAGTTTCCGAATTCCAGCTGAACTCTTTAAATGATGATTTCACATTTGGGAAACCGAGCAACATTTATTTTTGTGATTCAGTAATCTTATGCAGCGTGAGTTATGGTAGGTAATGATAGTGGAACTATTAAAACATTGGATCGTTGTTCGTCAACAAAATCATGACAGGCCATTACATCAGATTAGTCCTAATATTACACAGCCACAATCTATCAATTTGCTATTACCAAAATCAAAATGTTACGATAAACATTTTTCTTTAAGACTCTTGGAAACAACATAAGCGGGCCGATTGCTGGTTTGAAGGTGATATTGACAGTTTGGCGATCTCTTTTACATGTCTAGTCCCAGCTTGTGATATAAAGCTATCTAACAAGTTGACTCAACAGTACGTGCATTGCGTCTGTATTGTAATGATAAACTGCGTGTCCTAGATAACATCCATGACTTTGGTTTGTGATGAATAATATTCTTAAACGATTGGCGGAACTCAGGATTAGAAATAGAATACACAATTGGGTTCATACATGAGTTGAGATATCCTAGCCATGTTAATATTTCATCTGTCTTCGAGGAGAAAG